GGTTGGAAGGGGGAATGAAGGGCTTGGTTGCATTTGATAAACATGGTGCACATTGGCAAGAGAGATCCGGGTGGACAAAATAGCGAAACAGTGCACTGGCTATGCCCTGGCCCCCTTCCATGTTGTTCTCCGTTGTCTACTTTCCTGATTTCTGTCGCATTGATAACATCATGATGAGTTCACCGGGCATGTGGCTATGGGAGGCAAAAACCACACAGCTGCCTGCGGGGCTTCAACCTCATTTTTTTACCCAGAGTGAAATGTCACTACCCTTCACCCGATAATTTCAGTGGGAAAGCAGCTGAAGCGATTTAAGCTATATTGCTACCAGTACATTTACTAGATTTATGTTATATTCATAATCTGCTTTGTAATGTAAAAGATTGCAAAGCTGAGAGCAGAGGACCAAACTCTAGCTAGCAGGCAGCTGCACTCTAATCAGTTTCACAACAAAACAAACAGCAGCTAGTGACGTTAGCTTTTTAAAATAAATGTCAACTTTGACATTTCATGTTATTTAAATTAATTTAGAACTGTGTTTATGGTAAGAATAAGTGTGCTTATATACACTATACTGTATCCAGTTTTATATCTGATAAGCAGTTAAAAGGATAAATGGAAATGTTCATTTTCACTACCAAGCTGATGCGCATTCACTGCCAGGAAGCTGTATTAAAATTTCGTTTTATGTAATAAAATGGCAATAAAATTTACTCTAAGTTTAGGAGAAGCTAACAAGAAGGAAAGAGCAGTATATTCTAGAAATGTTTTCCTTTCTCAATTAAAAAATAATTTATCTTTTTTTTTTTTTTTTTGCAATTAATATCATTTTATCTCCAAAACTTATTTAAGAATTAAACTACTAAAATAAATAATTCTAAGAAGTCTAAGGTTTTAATTCAATTGTTGTAATACTTTGAAAGTGTCCAAATCTCTTTTTGGACAGCCTCTGGTTAAAAAACCATATAATGGAATATGCTGCAAACAATGATGAAGCTCTTCATTAACGTTATAACGCATCTTTCATACTTGAAATCTTTGCAAAGTTAAATACATCCATGCATCTATTGGATGATGGAAAAGTCTAATTCATTCTTAAGGTTGAATTCAACTGATTTCAGTTCAGTTTATTTATGTAGTTCCCAGATCTGGTTCTATTCAACCTGGTTCTAAATTTCTATTAAAGGAAAGCGTATGGCCCTTACATAAGGCCGTCCTACGTGGTCGTCCTGTTAGCTATCTTTTTCTGCGCACTTTCAGGCATATATCTGTGGTGAGCTACGGTTTCAGACAGTCACTGAAGCTCACCTTTCTCACCACTTTGAAAATGGCCGAGGGTCGTAAGAGAAAAAGTGTCTAGGAAGTGTATGAGAAGAAAACAAAGGCGTCAGAAGAGGCAGATATTTCGCAGAATGTTTTGCGTGGAGAACTTTCCTTGCAAAGCATTATGGGATTTGCTGTCGCAGTGGTCCGCTGGTCACCATAGGGTGTCGCTACCCAACAGCGGCAACTAATAACAAAGATGGCGCAGGCATCTCACAGTGGAGGAGAAGTTACGTGATGAACGGAGCAAAAAGCAGTGATAATCCGTCTAAACGGCCAGTTAACTGAGTTCACTATATAGTTCCTGCTCTATATGATGATGGAGGGATTAAGGGGTTAGGGCGGACGTTCTGACACAGTTAGTTTGTATGAGCGATGCAAACAGCAACTTTTAAACAAAGCGTGCACGAGCAGAAAGTGACTCATACATTCTCTTGCATGAGAACAACCAACGAGCACAACCCTGTACCCGCTCCAGAGAGCCTATTAAACGTGTGCAAAAGCATTCATGAGCCCATTTCTCTGCTTGAAATGTTTGAAATGTTGTTTCCAAAATTTTTTATTCAGATCAATTCAGTTTATTTCTGTAGCGCCAGCTCACAGCATGTCACTGTTTTTTTTTATCTAAGGAAAACAGTTGGTTTCATCGACTCATTGACTCAAACACAATCCCTCACACTAAGCATAAGAAGATTTGCCATTTTTCCACTATGCCAGACTCACCACTAGTAAGTAAAAATGGGGACAAACACATAAGACGGCCTTACTTAAACATTTCACCAGAATTATTGACAATTAGGAGGACCACTTATATAGATGATCCACTTGGAAAAAGAACATTCTCCACTGTTACCTTTAAAGCACATTTTGTCACTATTAGCACAGCTTGGGTTTTTTAATCACTTTTACAGCACTCTCTGGCCTTATGTTTTTTATTATTAAAGTACAGCGGCCGATGGGTGCAAAAGGGTTGTGTAGCAAATACAATAAGTACTGGAAGCACAAAAAAATTGGCCTGGCACAAAATCTGTCTAAAAACGACTGGATGAATGTCCACAGACCAGACCTGGCAAAGAAAAGGTACATTTTCATTTGACTGTTTTTTCAAACTCTTTTAACCTTTTTAAATCTGCCTGAGAATCACATTTATGTCTTTACCAAGAGTCTGGTCCTATGTCAGTTTATAATTTTCTCTGTGAAGTTAGGAAGCTGAGAAAAAGGCCTTTCTTGTAAAAACTCCCAATACACCCACTCTACCTTGGAACTATCCCACCCCTACATAAAGAACTTTCTCACACACAAACATTTGGTTATTCCCAAGAAAAAACACAGTTCATCAAAGACATACATTTCTCCAGATAAACACTCAGACCAGGTCTCCCGTTCACGGCATGAACATCAGATAGTCTAATTCCAGCCTACAGACTGGTACAAGACTTCCTAACAATCACCCCTATTTATGCAGAGAAAAGCCACACTCAAAATATTTGATTTCAAGGAAAAATATCCTTCCACATCTTCTAGTCTCCAGCTTTCATAAATTTCCGAATTGTTTGCTATTTGCAGGATTTCTGTTTACACAATGTTTGCATATTTTTTCTCTCGATTCTCTCTGATTGCAGCATTTTTTCATTTGCATGTGTTTTGTGGCTGCTCAGTGGGTAGCACTGCTGCCTTGCAGCAAGAAGGTTCTGGGTTCGATTCCAAGCCCTGAGTCCTTTTGCATGGATTTTGCATGTTCTCCCTGAGCATGCGTGGGTTCTCTCCGGGTACTCCTGCTTCCTCCCGCAGTCCAAAACCATGACTGTTAGGTTAATTGGCTTCTCTAGATTCTCCTTAGGTGTGAGTGTGAATGGTTGTTTGTCTCTGTATTGTCCTGCGATGGAGTGGTGACCTGTCCAGGGTGGACCCCGCCTCTCGCCCATAGGTTGATGGAGATAGGCACCAGCACCCCCAGCATGATGGATTAGCATCATTTATATGTTTGCAGTTGCCCTGCGTTTCTCTGTATTCTCTGTTATTACAGTATTTTTTCCTTTGTATGCTAGTCTAATTTTTGTTTTTCTTGCCAGACAACTTCAGTGTATCTATTTAGCTCCAATTCACATCACATGTTATCTCAAGGCACTTTGCTAAGGCATTTCAATCATTGGTTAACAATTTATTCGTCTAAGGAAACCCAACTGATTGTATTGATTGTTTGCCTCATTTTTGTGTTTGCATAATTTTTTTTGTTTGTTACTTTTGTATGTATTTCCAGTGTGTTTGCACCTCTTGAACACTGTACACTGCTTTTTGTATCTCTGCTTGCTTTTTCTATCTCTGCTTCTGTCTCCTTGAACCCCAGTCGGCCTCAGTAGATGGCCGCTCACACTGAGCCTGGTTCTGCTGGAGGTTTCTTCCTGTTAAAAAGGAGTTTTCCTCTCCACTGTCGCTACAGGCATGCTTAGTGTGAGGGATTGCTGAAGAGTCAATGAGTCAATGCAATCAACTGGTTTTCCTTAGATAGAAAACTTTGAATCAATCTGACTGGATGATCTGGTGAACTGGAAAGTACCTTGAGATGACGTGTGTTGTGAATTGGAGCTATAGAAATAAACTGAATAGAATTGTACACAGAAAATCAGCTTCAGAAGATGACATTTTTATCAAAACCAAAAATTAGTTCTGAAGGCAAAGCAAGGCAATGAGATTTAATTTACATTGCATAGTTCCTTACAAAAATAATTTAAAGTGCTTTATTCAATTCAATTCAGTTTATTTATATAGAGCCAAATTCACAACACATGTCATCTCAAGGCACTTTACAGTTCAACCAGATCATACAGTCAAATTGATACAAAGTTTTCTATCTAAGGAAAACCAGTTGATTGCATTGACTCATTGACTCAAATACAATCCCCCACACTAAGCATGCTTGTAGCGACAGTGGAGAGGAAAAACTCCCTTTTAACAGGAAGAAACCTCCAGCAGAACCAGGCTCAGTGTGAGCGGCCATCTGCCGAGGCCGACTGGGGTTCAAGGAGACAGAAGCAGAGATACAAAAAGCAGCTGTAAAAGGCGGCCCCGTCCAGGAAACACACAGCCAGGCAGACGAGCTCCAAGGCAGCTCCCATGCCAGAGGACGAAGAGAGCACATCCACTCAGTCACGGTCAGAGAAACAGGACCACACTGGAAAACAGGCCGATCTCCAACATCTATTAACAAGGGTGTTGATAGAAGCAGCACAGCTGATGTTTTTTTCCAGGATGACGTCACAGCCAAACAGGAACAGACGAGGCAAAGCTACTCTGAGGAAAAGCAGAGAGAGCAGAAGGTTAGAGATTGAACTAACAGATTCTGCAGAATAGGAGAACAGAGAGAGAATGAAGCAGAATGATGAAAATGATGTGAATTAAACAATAACAGAGAAAGAAAATTAAACGATAAATAAGATCAAAACATAATAAAAGGAGGTGGTAAAAGAAATAAAACAGCTGGTCCACAAACTTAATCTAATGAAACCTCAGTTAACAGTTTAACAGTCAAAGGCAGCTGTAAATTCATGGGTTTTTAACTTTGATTAAAAGAACTCAGGCTTTCATCTCATCTGCAGCAGACTAACTTCCACCTTCAGCCGTCCACCTGTTGCAACGCCTTCATTATGTGAAATGTTTTTATTTCTGTCTCTCAACAGATGAAATTCACAGATGCTATGCGCTCCAAAGCTCGTCTGTCTATCACTGGGTCAACGAGTGAGAACGGCCGTGTTCCAGTGGCTTACCTTCGCCCAGGATTACCCATGAGCCTCAGTATGACTGACCTCTCATGACCTCTCACAAGTCAGTGCCTTACAGCCAGTCAATGCGCTTTCATCGATCCCTGCTGTAAGGGAAGCGGAGGGTTTCCCTCTTTAAGAAAAAGACAAGACATATTTCCCGTGGCGACGGGCGACCTGCTCCACTTTTTATTCGGGATTTTAGTCATTTGAAACTCTTCACTTCTTTACGTCTGGTCTGCAAGAACTAGGCAGATGTCCTTCCTGGCTTCTGATAAACATTTGTATAGGGAATCCCAGGAGGATCGGAGGGAGGGACGGCTGTTTCTGCACCAACCCATGGCAAACAATCAAGCACAGAGGACCGTTTTTTAAAATCCGATATCACTTGTTTTGTAGATTTTTGCCATGGAGGCGTCTCTTGTACAGAAAACACCAGTGTTTCCGATGTTCATGCAATAACAACAGCTATCAGGGATCAGGAAGCGCGGGGATACAAGCAGGAACTTCTTTGAAATGTGCTGAAGTGCCATGAACAAAAACTGATGTCCTGATAAAATCACCACGTGTTGTGATAATGATGTGATTGTTCCGGTTTTTCTCTTCTGTTTGCTTGTAAATCCTCATTTTAAACCACATATAGAAACAACTAAGTCCAATTCAATATTATTAGAAATTTAAACGAAATGTAAAGATAATTCTTGTTGGTGAGGTTCTAGCATTTCATTCTTGATTCTGCAGACTAACATCCATCCTTTCAGTTACTTCAAAAGGACATTTTTGTGGTTTGAAACCAAACATGTAAACATTTTCCAAGGATCATTACTTTATCTGAATTTCTATTCTAACTGTATGAAGAACTCTGTTTTAATCAAATAAGACCTGTTGAAGCTTGGTGGCTAATCTGTGGTTAGCCATAGAGCTACATTCCCCCCCAGGCCTAAAGGGATGTACAGGTCCTCCAACAGGTTCTGACTCATCATTTCCCAGTTTGACACGCCTGAAAAACCCCAATATGGGGGAAGAAAGAGGATTTGATGAAAGGATGGGGAGCAGAGGAGGATGAAGCTAAGGACCTTTCTTACTGTCATGTTTGGATTCTCTGGGTGAAGGCCTTTACATAGACAGAGATTTACCTTCCAGCTCATCGCAGCAGACCTCCCTCCTGCCTCCATACTTCTCCATCATTCCTAACCAGTCAGACGTTACCACTTTAAGTTTCCTCTCTAGAACACAGAAACCGCTGCAGGGCAGGAAGTCTGTCCGTGTCCAATCCCACTATTAGAACAAGGATAAACGTTTGACCCCAGTCTTTCTATAAGTTTCTGTCCATGAATGCCACTAAGAAAATCTTTGGCACATATGGGCCCAGTAGGAGTCTGACCCGTTCTACACACAGGTTCTGATTATGAGGATCTTTGTTTCAGCGTTTAGCCGGGGCCGTCTCTAGCAACACTCCCCAGGTGGATCCCTGGACACGCCTCATATAAAACACGGCAGAGGCTGTTCACTAGCGACCGCCTCCCAATGGTAGGAGCCTTCAGCAGCTCAGGGAAAAGCTGGACAGCTTCCCATCCTTACCTTCAGCCACCGTGACGTTCTCACCTTCCTCTGGGTGTCTGGACTCACAGAAAAAGAAAGATGGAGGATTTCTAACCTGTAAACGTGGTCCTCACTCATAACCAGAACCTCCAGAGAGCAAGAGTCTGGTTCTGCAGACAGAGCCGGACTATTTCTAATTGTAATTGCTCCGATTCTCACCAGAAGTCTCCCTCCTTTCCTTACCTGCAAGTTAGGACTTCATGTCTGTGAATCTGTACAGGTCCTTAGCCTCTCCTTCAGCCAACCCCTGCTGCACCAGAAAGCCTCCCATCAGCTGATAGGTTTATATGGGGGTGGAGCCTGTAGCTGGTCTGGGTCCTGCTTTGCTGAGCCCAGGGAACCAGGACCAACCATCAGACCAGGCTACAGGAAACCAGAGTAGAGTATTTTAGAACAGAGTTTATTTTATCGACTTTATGCATTTAAGATGATACTATATTGAATGAGTGATGAGAAGAGGAAGAGCAGTGCAAATGTACCACAGTCCTGATGCTTTTAGTAGAAAGATATAAAGACGTAAAAATGGAAAATGATATTTGATGTAGTTTATTGTACATTCTGAACTTTACTGGAAGAGTTCAATCTTTTATTATTATTGTTGTTTTGAAATCTAGGGGGGGGAAAGCATCTTTGCAACCATTCGGTTAGTGACTAGGCTCTGATGACATCACAGGTCGTGACTGTGGGAGTCCCTCAGAGCCACAGAGGACTTGGTTTTTGTTTTTCCTTCATGCACCTCAGTAAACATTTTATTTCTGTAAATATGAGAGGAGTTGCTCCTCTTTTTTAAAACCAACACAAGCGGACACACTCACACTGTTTACTGTACATGGAGTACACACTGCAACATGGCTGCACCCTGACACCATCCATCCTCCAACCAGTTCTCCTGAAGCCAAGCGGACCGTGTGCCAAAACAGTCCGAGGAGCAAGCAGAGCTCCTCCAAACTGAGCCGACAGAAGGACGAAATAATGTGAAAACTTTACTGCATCCATGGTGCCAACGATGACGAGGAGGATGAAGAGAGCATCTGCATGTCACTTCTCTTTTGTTTTTAGTTTTGTTTTCTTCAGATCAGGCTGTCGGCCTGAACCCTTGTGACCGGCTGCTTATTAGTGTTTGATAACGATAGCCGTTAGAAGAATATAAACAATATTAATTACAGTACTAATGTTGTTCCTGTTATCTAAGTGTATGCTTTTTAAGAACTGGATTCTCCTGGTTTTTTTTGTAGTTTATTTTTTATTTTCTGTTTGGTTGGCTTTAAAGCTTCACAGGAAAAACTTCAACGTGACAAAAGTCTGAAACAGGAGGATCACGAGCCGAGGGCGTTGATTCAGCTCCTGCTCAGAGGACACACATCATTTCTGCCCACAGACGGTCGTCAGGATGTCCTGATGTGAAATCATCACGGTTCACTGCTGACTCCGTTTTCCTTTTTTCTATTAAAACATTGAAATAAAAAAAAAAAACACTTTTCAGCGGTGAAGTTGTAAGTTTTCAGTGTAAGGCGGTTTGTGGGTCATTTTGAACATATTTCCTTATGGATACGTGAATATGTTTGCCAGAAGGCCTGGGACAGAGTGCAATCTGGATCTGGAAGGATCGTTATGCATGAAAGCAATTTGAGTGAGTCTCATTAGGAAGCAGTGAAGGTTTCCACACCTCACACTGGTTCAGTAACACAGTGTCATGCATTAGACCAACTCAGCATAGAGCAGAATGGTGAACTGGAGGGAAGAGAAATCTGAAGAGTGCGGCATGCATATGTTTTAGCCCCAGAGCTTTTAGTCAAAACAGAAAATGTTTTGCTGTTTTTTTTCTGTTTCCCTCTATTCACCACTAAAGAGGGATTCATTCAGAGCAGAAAGATTAAAAACATCTGGTTCACATTGGTGAGGAGAAACCTCCAGCTGAACCAGAGTCAGAGGGGCAGCTTCTGCTGGGGCCGACTGGGGTTCAAGAAAACAGAAGCAGACATAGAAAAAGAACATAGAAGCACTGATCTATAAATACTTTCTATGTTAGAGAAGGTGAGGCTAAACTAGCTCAATAATTGGCTTTAAAGGGATGAAAGAGAGTCACAGTTAAAGCTGAGCTCATATCTCTAGGAGAGAAACAGGACTAAACACTGAAAGCAGACTGCAGATCACCTATTTTTAATCCATGCCAAAGTTTTTTTATTGGATTTAAGGCTGAACTTTGAATGAACTATCCTAACTGGTGCTGGACTGGATGTTTATTTACCACTGGAGATCATTCCAGCACCAGAGGAGGATAACAGCTGGTTCACCGGTGTTCATTATGACGCTTCTGAGGCCAGAAAACTGAGATCTAATGAACCTAAACTGGGGGATTCTGTTCATTTTATTTATCTTCCTTCTGCTCCACGTTTCTGCGCGCTGCGTTGGTCGATCACATGACATCCCTGAGCCTGACCCTGAGGTCTGTGGCTGACCGAGTGTAGAAAAGGTGAATGAACTGTTTAGTCAGGCAGCGTGTTAATGAGGAACGGACATGCTGATTCTCCTTAGGTGAGCCTCTGGTCACAGAGCGGAAATAATTTGTTGTATCATGACTTTATATTTATGTTATTAATATGCAAATGTCACTTATAAGGGTTTTGACTGTATTCACAGATGAACACTCATTGTGTTGATACTTGGTTTGTAATCTGACTATTTACAGTAAATATTAAACATGCATGCTCTCCACATGATCTCTGTGTGTAATGCAGGTTTTTTTGTGTGTTCAGAACTTCTAAATCTGCTTTATAGAACAGTTTTATTGTTTATGTTGTTTGTTTAAGAGTAGAGACTGTTTTGCTAAGCTTTCTGTCCACTAGAGGGCAGTAATGTTCCTTTTCTTTTCCACCAGAAAATGTAACTAGTAGTTGAAGGTGGTCAGATTCAAAATATTTTATTTATTTCCGGCTCAGCCGAGCATTGGAAGCTACACTTTAACTGTATTTATATATTTCTGTTTGCAAAATGGTTCAAAATAAATGCTAATTTTGATCAGTCCTGCATTCAAAATGCATCCAGAGAAGATAAATCTGCTTTAGTCTCTCCTGAATCATTATAACCTCTTAACATCCACCTCATTTTGGGTAATCCTCGCCTATTTTGCAGACCCAAATGGAAAAGCAAATAACTCAGGAGCTGTAAGCCCAAATACATGTGCAATACATTATTTGAAAGCTAACACCCTCTAGTTTCCTAATATATAAATTCGGTGAGTAGAACACAGACCAATTTGAATCAGTTCAAACATGACTCAAAGTTGTTTTTTTATTCTCGGAAATGATCGGTCTTTTTTTAATAGCAGTAAAAAAATACATTCTTGAGAAAAAGCAGGTTTTATTGTATTATATTTGTTCTACATCATGTCAACCACACATGCAGAAAATTTCAGACCTTCAGCTATAACAGTTCCAGAGCTGTGGGGCTTTGACCTTTTGTTGTCAGCTTGGAGCTGCGTGCAACGGCTCCACCTGCTGGTGAAAATTTTACCTGTGGAATTTTACACATTCTGAATTATTACCCCCACTTAAGGTTTTAAAGAAATTTACTACAGAGAAGTCCACCTTAAATCTGTTTCAAAGAGAAAGGACAGAGCAGACCTGTAAATAGGAAAACTCCCTCAGAAAATCATCCAGTAGTGGAAATGGATGAAACAATAACATGAATACAGGATGTGTTCATGTTCAAGTAAAGGAACATTAGAGAACAGATGCCTGGATGAGAAAGATTATTTCTAATTATTTCAATTCCAAATGTATTTAAACATAAAAATAGTCTCCTTTAACCAAAGTGTCTGGTAGTAATTACTGATTCACAAATACAATCGCTATAATGTAAAGAAAATTAAACAAAAAATCAGTAATAATAGGTCAATAAAATGAACAAACCCTCCATTTTTTTCTGGAGATCAATAGTTTACACACTTTAAAAATACAAATTAGGTTTTTGGACACTAAAAAAGCTGATCAAAAAATAAGTTAAGATTTCTTAAAGTAAGTTAATAATTTTCACTCTGAGTTTTTTTCCGTTCTTAAAATAAGATAATTAGATATTAAGTGGTTTGGATGAGATAGAGTTTTCTGGATTTTTCTTCATTTTAAAGGTAAATCATGTAATTTACATCAAGAGAAATAAACTAATTTCAACAAAATGTACTTATACTCTGTGACAGACTGGCAGCCTGTCCATGGTGACCCCACTGACAAGGGGTAAGTGGGAGAAAACGATGGACGAATATTTATAATTATATATATAGTTATTGCTCAGGGTATCAAATGGTAAATTGCATATTATCTGTCTGGTTGCAGCAGGGATGAATGACCTGCAGTAGCGCTCCTTTCTACAAACAGAGTGTCTAAGTCTTTGACTGAAGGAGCTGCTCAGCTCCTCTCCAGTCTGGTGCAGAGGGTGGAAGGTGTTCTCCATGATGGATGGAAGCTTGGACAGCACCCTCCTCTCAGCCACTTCCTCCACTGAGTCCAGAGTGCAGCCTAGGACAGAAACAGCCTTTCTCAACAGGTCATTCAGTCTCTTTCTGTCCCGCTCTGTGCTGCCAGGGAACCAGCAGACGACAGCGCAGAGGAGGGCTGATGTCACCATAGAGTCTTAGGAGGTTATAATCAGGGGCCTGATCACTCCAAAGGACCTCAGCCTCCTCAGGAGGTGGAGGCTCTGACCCTTGTTATACAGGGTGTCAGTGTTATGAGTGCAGCTCAGGTTATTGTTGACATGAACACCCAGGGATTAGAAACTCTCCACAGTTTCTATGTCCTGCCCCTGGAGGGGGGAGTGAGGCGGGGCTCTACTCCTGAAGTTGATCACCATGTCCTTGGTCTTCCTGGTGTTAAGAGATGTGTGTTATTTTCTCACTTTGGGGCTGAGTGCTGCAGACTGCATCAGTGCTGCTCCGTGTAGATGAGCTGTGGTTTGATGGATCCACCATCAGGACTGATGACGGCGTGGGAAACTGTGACATACCTGAACAAAGCATGTGGCTGCTTAAGCATAAAACAGACGGCATTAGAGATGATTCCTTAGTTTGTCATCGAATCAATAAATGCAACTAGACGTCAGCTCTGACTTCTCTGCAGGAATGTTTGTTTTGCAGCTTAGCAAAGATAAAGATTCAAACTCAGTGACTTAAGTCGTTTTCTAAACCGCAGCGTTTAAACACCTAAAATATGACGTCTAGCAGAACAACAGGCAGAGGGACGACATGTAGATTGAACTCATTTCTAAATGGGACTAATAGAGGACAGATCTGACATCATTCATTAAATCTATGCACATGTTTGGTTTTTATGATATTAGTTTTTTTTTTAAAGAAAAGTTAATTGGTTCCATGAAGTCATCTGTGTTTAAATGATCTCAGATCAGTGAAAACTCTGCAGGGAGGAGTTTGCACAGAATGACAGTTAATCAGCATTACAAACAGACAAACCAAACTTTATTCATGTTAGAAACAAAAACAAGCATAAAGAGTAAAATCCAAAACTAGCAAAGATAAAACAGGATAACATGATTTACACCTCAGTCCATATTTTGGGTTAGAAACAACAATAAAAACATTACTTTCCTCCATGATGAGAAGGTTACAGACCTCAAACATCTGCTGCAAACATTCATTAATTAAAGGAGACCCAGAGGACATCAGAGATTACTCTATAATCTCTATTTCTACAATAAAGTCCAGATTCATTTTCATATTTTCCTGGATTCACTGGTGCCTCCGTCTTTATCCATTTAATATGGATGCAGTCTGATTCTAACAGAAGCAACAGTCTGCTCTGTCCCTCTATGGAAGATCCAGACACTCATCAGGTCTGCTGAGGAGACGCTGCTTCCGCTCAGCTTCTATCTTCTTTTGGTTCCACCGAAACCTGAGAAGCAAACAGGCGTCTGTCAGAAGGATCAGAATAGATCCATAACCTCCATCAGCTCCATAAACCAGCAGATTCACCTCCGTCTGACCTGCTCTCTGCTCTGCTTCTATTTAACATTTAAAATACTACAGATCATTTTCTAAATTCTGAACATTTATTTAGTAATAGAAAGTATGTATTTTTAGTATAATTAGAAGAATATTGGACACGCTAATCAAACACTAAATGAACTGATCACTGCAGCCCTAATCCATAATAACCCATAATGACAGTAGTTATTAGAAAACGTGTTTTTTGGTCTGGACTCAGAGCTGAATAGACTGACTGGTTGGGATGCAAATCAATGTGACTTTAATTTATAACCTGGGATTTTTCAGGCTTTTATATAATTATAAAGCAAATAATTTCATCCATTTTCTATCACGCTTATCGCAAGTGGGATCACGAGGGGTGCTGGTGCCTATCAACCGCAGGGCAAGAAAGAGACAAACAGGACAAACAACCATTCACACCTAAGGAAAATTTAGAGAAGCCATTTAACCTAACAGTCATACTTTTAGACTGTGGGAGGAAGCCGGAGTACCCAGAGAGAACCCACGCATGCTCAGGGAGAACATGCTAACTCCATCCAGAAAGACCCCGGGCCGGGTCCCAGAACCTTCTTGAACCCAGAACCTTCTTGAACCCAGAACCTTCTTGAACCCAGAACCTTCTTGCTGCAGTGCAACAGTTGTACCCACTGTTGCACTGCAAATTATAAGTCTTATAAAATATAAGTCTTTGCTTCATAATAATTGATATATTTTAACTTTATTAATCTCAAATTTCTGGAGAAATTTACCTCTGCATTTAACCCATTCCCTTGGCAAGCAGTGGGCTGTCATTTTGTGGCACCCAGGGAGCAGTGTGGGGGTTAAGGGTCTTGCTCAGAGATCCAGTGTGGAGGCTGTGGGGATCGAACATGGTACTTGCAACCTTCTCAGAGCAGAAACACACTGCTCTAACACTAGGCCAACCCTGCCTTGGCAAGCAAGCCATTATGAGTATTATTTTTTAGTATCAATTTGTATAGTTATTTGGGGGAGGGCTGTCATTGTGGGTCGCCACGAGTAATCTGGGGTTAAACTCGTAGGGATGTTTCAACCTTTGCATATCTGAATTCTCCCGACTGAGTGAATTGGTCGATTATCAAGGGGGCGGGATTGTTGTGGCGGAAGGTTCACAAGCAAGTTCGATTGTGTCCGGTTTCTCTGAAGCATCTTGCTAACCAGTTAGCAACTTACTGCTAGTAGGTTCCCAATGGGAAATTCCATTGGGACCAAGTAGCACTAAATTGGTGACTTAGAAACGACGCTGTCAAGGAACGCTATGGACAGAGGAAACATGCAAGAGGAGGAGAGTTTAGTGTCGGAGGTCGTGGATGAGTCTCCTCCGTCATCCATTTTTTATTTAGAGGAGGAAAGCGGGACGAAGATGTTGTGGAAGAGGACGCCAGGGCGGCAGAAGCTTGGTTTGGTGTAGAAGGCTTCCAGCCGTACATGTTTGAGCCCTTGCCTCGCAACGCTGCCAGTTCTGTTAGCTCTACGCCTGCTGAAGACACAGACGTCCATCCCCATGAACACTGGGACGCAACTCAATGGGAAAGGAAAGGATTCTGATTTCGTATTTTAACTGTTGCGTATGTTAGCTGCGACATATGAATCAAGATGCTATGACCGAAAAAATGTGATTGACAGATGGCCGAATTTAGGTGTTCAGGCTGACGTATAACTAACTGGCCTGCCTAAAATAATGAAAAAAATATATATATATCTATATATTTTAAGAGAGGATTTTTTTTTTAAAATAGAAATGTTCTAAATTTTGGGACAACATTGTCCGATAGAGTACATTTATATACATGTTTAAGCCAGAATGATTTGACATTTAAATATGATTTCCCTACAACTTTAAGGATCTGGCTCAGGGACCCTGAGTGGCAATCTGGGAGGAGGGAACTCAGAACCTCAGTATTCCAAGCTATATGCTCTAAACACTAGGGCTGTAACTTCTAGATGTGACTATAAAGCTAAACTTTATTCAGTTTAACAGCTGGTTCCGATGGACGGTTGCTGTCTATGGCCTGCGTACCTGAAGCGGTGCGGGTCCCAGTGGAGTGGTGATCACTGGCTGGACGAGGGCTGCACGGCTGCGTCCTGGAAAACAGGAAACAGGAAGCTGAAGGCTGAACGCCGTTCATACGCCTCTAAACGCCATCTTCACTCACCTCTGACGTCCAAACAGATATCCCAGCATTCCCCCTGTCCCCATCCCAGTCCAGAAGCCTCCGCCTGTGCCCGGACCGGCGCGACCTCCTGGGTACCGTTGTCCGTTGGTGTAATCGCTATGGAAACCGTATCCTGGACTGGATCCTGGAGAGTCTGAGCAGGAGACACAGGCAGATGTTAGGAGGACAGACTTTATCCAGCGGGGTTCTGCTTCTGGTCACATACCTGTGTAGTCAGGCTTGAAGCCAGGAGGGGGGGGTCCTCCCATGCTGTGGGGATGGTTCCCCTGAGGGTAGCCCGCCTGCCCCCCACCGGGCCCAAACTGGGCGCCGTCCCCGCTGAGGAACAGCTTGTAGACGCCATAAGCTAATAGAAGAAGCACAGCCACCACCAATAGGCCGCCTGATGACTCGCTGTCTGAGTGGTGCTGGTTCTGGTGCTGGTTCTGGTACTGGTTATGGTACTGGTTATGGTTCTGGTGCCGCTTGTTTCCAAAAAAACTGCTGAAGAAAGTAGAGGCCAGACCTCCGAGTCCTGGTGGGGGAGCAGGACGAGAGAAGAGCTGAATGTTTGCGTTCAGTGAAATATTTCTGCTTCATTCTGCCTTCCTCTTACCCCCCCACTCCTTAAACCCCCCATGGGAGCCTGCGCTGCCTGGACTTCTCCTCTGGCCCTCCTGGGTCAGCTCCAGGGTGAACTCCAGTCCACAGGAGCCCTTCAGGATGTAGTCATCAGAGGGGTGGTTGTATCCCTCGCAGCTCACCTCGATACGGCCGAACCTGTAGGCGTTGTCCAGGTCCGCCTTACACTCCCACTGAGACGGAGAGGAACAAACCAGAAACACTCAGAACCATCTAGAATGAAATATCCAACCAGAGGCTGAGCGAAGCCTGCAGAAGACCGGGGCCAGTCAGCGCTGAGGGGCCCCGGTCTTCATTTTATTACGGTTTCCATTTCAATACATGTCCCTGACAAAACAACACACTGCAAAAAAACTGCATTCTACATGAGTCTTTTTTTCTTACAATAAGTGGATAATTTCTTGAATTGAGGAGGTAATTAAAACACTTTCTCAATGGAACAAGACCATTTACATTTATAATAAGGAAAAAAAAAAAATCAACTGCATCAAATCATGTTATTTACCTGCTCAAATTAAAGGTAAATACCCTTTTTTTTGCTCATTTCTAGATCATTTTGCTTTATAAAAAAGACATTTAAAAAAAAATGTATTCAAAAACTTTTGTTTTCTCAGATTTGATGTTTTTTTTCAATAAAAATTATAATACCAAATAATTCTCTTTATTTCAAAGTTAAATTTTTTAAATTTCTCTTTTCCAGATTGAGATTTACTAATTTAAATCACTTTTTCTCATTCACTTCACTTCGTTCCTGTGGAGTCAGGGATATACAATGGAAACATTTTCTTGAAATAAGAAAGATATTCTTAAATTAAGTGTATTTACCCTTAATTTGAGTAGGTACATGGGATGATTTGCCAACAGAATGAGTATTTTTAATGTTAAAATAAGATATTTAGATAAAATTCACTTGAAATAAGACAATGCAATTGTGTTTTCTTATTTTAAATGTAAATTGTCTTGTTCCATTGGCAAAATGTCTCTTTTATTTCCTCAATTCAAGAACAAATTCACTTACTTTAAGAAAAAATGACTTATCTAGATTTAGATTTTTTCCAGTGTGGACGTATTTCTATCAATCTGCTGGGCGTTGACCTGATGTAGAGCTACTAAATGCTCCAAATAAACTAAAGAGCACTGAAACAGCACCCTAGCATAACGCTGCCACCGCCATACCTAACAGTGGGTCCAATCTGTGGCTAAATTCGGCTGAATTTTGAGTTTGAAAACCTTAATAATCGAGATGGTTGCCATGGCCACCCTCCCTCCCAGTCCTCCTTACCTGAACATCCACGCCGTCCCAGCCTTTGTTTACACACTGAACCACCTCAGGGATGAAGGCATGGCAGCCTGCAGAGCCGCCGACACACTTCAGCTGAGGGACTGGGCTGGAGCGCCGCGCTGTGGTGTAGCGGTTCCTGTAGAGGGTCAGAGCCTGGACGTCCCTCAGCAGCACGCTGTCTGCAGGGGACAGGGATGAGGAGTCAGGGTTCATTTTTAGCTTTCACTGATAAAAACCTCACTGCTGAAGGCCTGGATGACGTCATCTGTTAGTGGTCACACATTTTCACGTATTGATTCATGGGTTTGATTTAATGTCATAATCAATGTTCACATAAAAACACCACTAACAAACACAATAGGATGTAAAACAGAAAGAAACTAGACTGATGTTTAAATGATTAGAGGAATAATAAACACCTTTAATGGAACAGTTTGTGAATGAATGATGTGTTTCTGTGAAACATTTAAAGTTAATGTTCTTATAGCTGATCCTTTAGTGTTCATCCTAACCCCACCTGGAGTCAGGTTGAGTGGGCGGTCCTTACAGGCTTCCGTATTTCAGGCTTTTAACATGTTGTTGCAGCAGATGAGCGAAACATTGATAGATTTGTAGATATTTGGCAGAAAACACTTCTGCACGAGGAGTGTTGGTGTAAAAGTAAAAAAAGAAAAAAACGGAACTAAATGTTGACTATTTAATGAACAAACAATGATATCATGATGAATTAAAGTAAAAAAAAAAATGTTGATTTTTGCTCCGTATCAAGTTATGAACACCTAAAGGAGGAGTATTTATATTTATTTAAGATCAAGATCAGATCAGATATTTAAAATAGAAAGCAAACCGACCTTGATTCCAGCCGTAGGTTGTTTCAAAAAACACCAACAGAATCCAAACTGTCTGATAAATCAGCGCCATGTCATCAGTCCAACAGCTTTAGAAGCTTTGACTGGTTTTCTGCAGAAGAAACGTCCAAACAAACAGTATCGTCTCCTTCTCAATGGCTGACAGCTTCTTGTTTGTTTCGGTGTGGCAGTGCGAAAGCTTCACTTCCGGGTACGTCATCGCTCTGGTCCAGAAGCTGTAGCAGAGCGCCCCCTGCTGTACATTAACTCACCCTGCAGGCGGCTACATTTAGCCTGTGAGCGCTAGGCCGATTATAACTAAATTATATCTTTATAAAATGCTTTGAGATTAAACGTGCTGTTTACCTGCGCTGTATAAATAAACTGAAGTGAAAAGTTCTGAATTTAACCCGTTTTTATTCACAGGATTTTTAATTTACACATCAGTGTAAAAATCCATCAGTTTACACATAAAATAATACAAAACTATGATCAGACTTTATTGACATTGACAATATTTCACAGTCATTTTAATAAGTATATTTAGAAAAAAAAAACCCACTAGGGCTGCCAACTTTTCACCAAACCTTCACTGCAAAAAATAAAATAAATGTGGATAAGTCATTTTTTCTTAAAATAAGTGCATTTTGTCTTGAATTGTGGAGGTAAGTGAGACACTTTGCCAATGGAACAAGACAATTTACATTTATAATAAGAAAAAAATTATTTAATTTTCTTATTTAAAGTGCATTTTATGAAATATTTGATAGTATTTTGATAGTAAAATGTTCATTCCATTGGCAAATCATCTTATTTACACAGTCAAATATACTCAAAATACACTTAATTTAAGATTTTTTTTTTAGTGTTGGAGTGAGATTTTGAAATAGTTTGGACAGGCAACCCTTATCAGGGTCAGATTGAAAGGCTTTTGATCGGTGCAGCTATAGGTCGGAGGTTTTCAGAGGATTTAACTGAAACGGTGTCAAAATTTTTGACACCATTGTCAATGTGACTGAGTAACAATAACTAATCTCTAGTTATGTGGAACATTTTTCTCACAATATACATTATTTTCTGTATTCTGGTTGTTTTCAGAGAATTGAAGTAAAGCAGAACGGGACCTACTAAAATACTTGCATCCTAAATATACTGTAAACTAAGAATTTCACTATTTTGTTTAATAATTATTCTGTACAGTTCAAGTAAATTAAAAATTTGGGAAATAAGTTATTACTGGATAATTGGCACCAATACAGGAACCAGTGTAATCGAATCCAGTACAAAATAGACTGTGTATGAATATTTGGTAATAAACTAATGATTGATGATGATTAAAAAGCTTCACTCATTATGTTATTAGTTGTTTTTTTTTTTTTTACAATTGACAAAACAGCTGTTTAACTTTAGACCTTCCAGAAGGCTATAGATTCTATAAAAACACACACAAGACAGCCTTTTCCTGGATGTTTAATTTGGGAAAATGTGATGTAAATTAAATTTTTTAAACATATGTAATGAACCAAATAAATGAATAAGGTCAGTAGTAATAAAATTAGAACATCCCTCTGGTTCCTCATCTATGGATGACTGAGTTGTTCTGCACATCCTCTCTGTGTCTTACCTGGTAGGTGTTTTCTTGGGTGGCTGATTTTTTGAAAAATTAAATGTAATGGTTCTTTTTCTTTTTTGTGGACCCTAGTTTACCCTAGGGTAAACTAGAGCAAACAAGGAGTAAAGCTTACTAAAAAGAAACACTATGTAGAGAAAACAAATCATTTGATATCAATTTGATATCATCCTACACTTGATAATTCTCCACTTTGATCATTGAAAGTTTATAGTTAGAGTGGCTCAGGTTATCCTGAGCTATCTCTATAGTTATGCTGCTATAGGCTTAGACTGCTGGAGGACATAGGGACCCCTTTTCATCATTCTGCTTCATTCTATCTCTATTCTCCCACTCTGCAGAATCTGTTAGTTCAATCTCTAACGTTTTGCTCTCTCTGCTTTTTCTCATAGTAGCTTCATCTGGTCTGTTCCTGTTTGGCTGTGACTCCATCCTGGAGAGAAATATCAGCTGTGCTGCTGCCATCAACACCTTTTATAGCGATATACCGATTATAGATGTTGGAGATTGGCCTGTTTTTCAGTGTAGTGCAGTGCATGTGTTCTCTTCATTCTCTGACATGGTGGTTTTGAGCTCGTCTGCCTGGCTGTGTGTTTCCTGGACGGGGCCGCCTTTTACAGATGCTTCTTGTATCTCTGCTTGTCTCCTTGAACCCCAGTCGGCCTCAGCAGATGGCCGCTCACACTGAGCCTGGTTCTGCTGGAGGTTTCTTCCTGTTCAAAGGGAGTTTTTCCTCTCCACTGTCGCTACAAGCATGCTTGCTGTGAGGGATCGCATTCGAGTCAATGCATCGATGCAATCAACTGGTTTTCCTTATATAGAAAACTTTGAATTAATCTGACTGGATGTGGCACTATAGAAATAAACTGAATTGAAGCTAGCAGCTGTATATTTCATTCATATTTACTCAAGTGCTAGATTGCTTAAAATCTTCAATAATTTACAAAGAGCATTATCTTAGTCGAGGTGAGATAATATTAAAATAACATACCTCGTAATAACTTCTGTTTTTCTAATATCTTCAGCCCTGTTGCTGTCAGCACAGGTGAGCTGGTGCCAAAATAAGGACTGGATATGAACCTGACATGTCCTCGTGTGTTAGCACTAAGGTTGTATTAAAAACGTGGACTGGCGATTGTTATGTCTAATCACCATGTTTTTTTAAATAAATAACTGGAATGTAGCTGAGATTTAATGTCTGTCATTTTTAAGTGTGAAAAATTGGAGACATGTAGTGAGAGCGTGTGAAAATGCGAGAGTCTCACGCCCAGTGTGTGAGCCCTGAAAACATTTAAGTAAAGTTTAAACCAACGTGTCATGAAAACCTTATATCTGTATTAAAAGTGTCTCTCTAGTGCTGATGAAATGTTTAATGTCTTAAATGTCTGGTTTTATCAGATATGAGCTGAAAACTGTCAGAATCAGCAGAAAGATTTGAAAACATCAGTTTGTGCAGGATTACTCTCTATAAAGTGTTTCCATTAGAATTACTGAATTAAATCAACTTTCTATTAAGGCTTTAATTTATTGTTTTATCACTGCAAAAACAAGCTACAAATAAGTAAAAGCAACTTAATTTAAGTACATTTACCCTTAATCTGAGCAGGTAAATAAGATGATCAGCCAATGGAATGAGCATTTTTACTCTTAAATTATATAATTAAATAAAATGCACTTGAAATAAGAACATTGTGTTTTGCTCTTATTTTAAATGTAAATTGTTTCGCTCCACTGGCAAAGAGTCTCACTTCCCTCCTCAATTGAAGAACAAATGCACTGATTTTAAGAAAGAAGGACTTATCTAGATTTGGCAAACATAGATGAGGCTGTACTGCATATCCACAGCCAGACTAGAACCACTTAGTGTCCATTTATTGGCCCCCAAACACAAACAGAGACAAAGTAGTAAAAAGTGTTTATTTCAGCACTGCCCCGATTGTTTGGCCCATATTATTAAATCTCTGCTATAAGTTAGATATTTACATCATTAAGGGCCTCTGATATTATACACCGTCTCCTTTAGAAACATCTTCATTTACGTCGTACAAAATGTTGCAAACATGATCAAGAATAAACCAGAATAACCCCCCCACCCCCTATATCCCACATGATTATAAACCCAGCTGATCACAGACCGTTACCAGTTCACAGTAATCTGATTACCTGACGATATTCCAGTAAGGCTAGCAGTCCTTTATGGTTTTCATAGTTTCAGATGTGGAGAAATGGAAACTGTGCTTGGAATGGGTTAGTTTGGAGAAACAGCCACAGGTTAGCGTTCCTTCCTTTTAGCTTCAGAGTGCAAATTAAATTCCAGCCGAACGAGAACAACTTAAGCTAAAGGTACGGAGGAGAAGCTATGAGCCTGTTAGAGTCAGTGCAATGGAGTCAATCACAGCAATACAACCAGCTGCCATGTGAGAAAATCAACTACTACCTCATCCGTCGTCTTCAGCTCACATTTCTCATTTTTCTACACAGTTTGATGGAAGGAAGCACGGAGTAAAGCCATGGAGTGTTGCAGACCAATCAGATGGTCTGACTTTGGTAATACACGAGCAAATCAGATTTAAAAATGTCTGTGAAATGATTGCGTTCACCTTCCTGAACCGACGGTTATAGCAAAGATTAGAAACCTAAGAAAACAGAAATAAAAGCTTGTAAACAGCCACCAGGAAAGGATTAATGTTAACCCCAACAGCTCCTCCTGAGGAGCGGCTGGCTCAGCTCCTCTTCCCTGGAGAGGCAGAGTTCCTGCTCAATCCAGGCCTTTTTTTATCGCGCCTCAGTCGAGTCATTCAGGATAAAACCTGCCGCTCGGATACATTTAGTGGTGCATGTCCTCATGAAAAAAAAAATAAAAATCACCAGATGTTTCTCCATCCAGGGCTGGATTCCTTTAACTCTTCATACGGCGACGATGTTGTTCATCTCCCATTTCTGGGTGCTTTTACTGACGTCGCAGTCCGATATGAACACTTTGTGGAGCAGGTCTGAGCGGTCCAGGCATTTACCTGCAGAGAACAAACCCATCCATCAGCATCACTGCAAACCTTTAAAAGCTTTCCTCTACAGTTGAAAGGATGAGGCTCTGTTACACTGTGCTGTTTGGTTCTGATTGGTCACTGCATAAACCCGCCATTTTAACCACTGATGATGAGGAAATACCACATCCTGACAGTTTAGGTCCTTTTTATTCATCCACTGGTTCAGGAATCTGAGAATAAAAGGCTTCAATACATAATAGTGATGGGTCCATTAACCCCGATACTTGGGTTCATGCGTGGAGCCCATAGAGCTAAACTCTGCATCGGTGAGCCTGTTGTTTCCAGAAAGTCATGTGACCGATACAGGAGTTGTTTCTAACTGACTGACTCACTAAACTCTGTTTAAAAACGTATCTGTCAACATGATGCATCTGCTAAAAAAAAATGTCTCATATTTTGTGGTTTATTATTAAAATGATCCTGAATTTTGCAGCAGCCTAAAAGGAATAGGAACATTTCAGCCGTTGCATTTTTATTTTTATTTCCTCGTTGTGTCATCCTTTTCCTCTCAGTTATCAATCTACTTATCTGAATTAAAGTTAATTTCAAATGGCCTCTTAGTTTATTTACTGTTTTACTGCACTTACTCTTAAAAATATGATTTTAAATCCTAGTCCACCAGCATCTTCATTCATATTTTCTCCCACATTTTCACGTTATATATTTACATTATTCATTGGCTGCATCTAAAAATATCAAAGATATTTTTTATTTAAACATAGATATGAAATAATATAATATAACCTGCAATAATTTAAATGATATCATTGTTCTAGGTCATGAAATCAATTCAGTTTAGTCCAATCAGCTGCCTGTAGTGTCTTTAAACGTCCAGCAGGTGTCAGTATTCTGTCAATATTAACGCAGCATCAGTAGAGTTTGGCAATAAACGCTTCCAGATGCCTCATTAACCATCACTAATACATAAACTGCACCAGTAGGGGGCAGTGTTGTCAACAATAACACTTTACATCTTTAAGGAGATCTTCAGGGTCAGATATTATCAAACGGTTAATTTAGAAATAGATTACAGGCACAGATGAGAAACTCTGCCTCAGTGTGAGGCTGTAGCATCGATCTTCACCCTTCTTTCTAATCCAGTCCTCTAAAATGGAGCCTTTAATATAATCTGTAACTGGCTGCTGCTAAAAAACTTTAACTCTATGGATTAAATTGCAAGAACTGATATTAAAATCAACAGATTTGCCCCTAATTTGAGCAGGTAAATCAGATTATCAGCCAGTGGAAGTATGGGGATTTTTTTCCCCTTAAGATAATTAGATGCAAGATAATTTAGTTATTTTAATTTCAAATAATCTTATTCCAGTGGGAAATCATCCATTACCTGTTAAAATACACCTTTTTCAAGAAAACTAACTTACTTATATCTCAATTTTTGCAATTTGTCTGTTATTAAACTTAATTTATGTTCAAATCTATTTTTCCAAAAATATCTTAATGATGAAAGAAAAGAAAAAGAGAAAATGTGAATAAGGTTCTGGTTGGGTTTAAACCCCAGAGCTCAGACACAGACTGGGTCACTGGAACCATGTGGATTTCTCCTCAGATTCATTTCCAGGTCGTTTCTCTAAAGACTGAATGAAGGACGGCGCCGTCAGGTAACCGAGCCACAGCGGAGCTTAGCCTCACTGATCCAAACTCCCTCTGGTGGGAAAGAGCGAGAACTGCAGACATTTACCTGTTGGAACATGAGTGAACCGATGGAGATCCTGAAAGCAGAGCAGAAACAGAGGGCAGCTGGTCAGCTATTGGCTGGAAGGGACGGCGATCAGACGGTTAGCGGTGGAGAGGCTCTCACCTTGAAGTAGCTCCACTCTGTGTGCTGGTTCCTCTCACAGTGTGTGATGATGACGGCTGAGTTCTCCCCTCTGGTCAGGCACTGGTCGTACTGCATCAGCTGGTTGGCTTCATTGATGCGGAACAGCTGCAGAAACACAAAGCATCTGATTATGATTCTATGATTCGATGGAGAAATGCTGCTCTTCAGCGTCAGCACATTAAAACACAACCATTAAAATCACCTTTCATCTAAATAATGAGACACAACGATCTCTGGAAGGAAGATTCTGACCCAGATGTTATCAGAGACCCTTAGACCCTTATATCCAAACCAAGAGAAACAGGTTTCTGACTGATAAACGATTTTAAAAAGCTTTTGATGTTAATTATGTCCTATTCTGATTGTTCCAGGTCTATAAACTGCTACAACATCACAACACACCTCCGATGTTATCATCAGCACCCGTTAAACCAGGGGTTCTCAATGTCGGGTGATGAGATTACAAAATGTAACTATCTAAGAGTTGATTCAATATTATGCAAACAATTAGATAATAACTTCTGTTCACAATTAACATAATCGAATGACTGATTTAAAATTGCCTTTTTATGCAGATAATATTCATTGAGCGGAGGCAACAAGTTTATTTCTAAAGCACAATTCAGTACATCGGAAATTTAAAGTGTTTCATATGAATTAAACAATAAAATAGAAGAAAAACAAAAGCAGAATAAAAGCTAATAAAGATAAAAACATGATAAAAGCAGGTAGTAAAGGAAATAAAACAATTGGTCCAGAACCTTAAACTAATAATTCCTCAGTTAACAGTTTAACTCCAACAGTCAAAGGCAGCTCTAAACTAACGGGTTTCTAACTCTGACTCCAAAGAACTCAGGCTTTCAGCTCTTTTCTAGTCTGCTGGGAGTTTGTTCCAGATCCGTGGAGCATAGATGCTGATTCTCCATGTTTGGTTCTAGTTCTGGGTGAACAGAGTAGGCTGGAACTAGAAGACCTGAGTGGTCTGGGAGGTAGATCCACTGGAAACAGATCTGTTATGGTTTGAGATGCTGATCTATTCAGTGATTTCTGGACAAACAGAAGGATTTTAAAGTCTATTCTCTGAGCTACAGGGAGCCAGTGGAAGGACGTCAGAACCAGGCTGATGTGCTCTACTTTCTTAGTTTAGTGAGAACACGGGCAGCAGTGTTTTGGATCAGTTGCAGCTGTCTGATGGACTTTTTAGTCCATCAGACAGCTGCAGCTGTGATCAATTCTATTAAAGATAAATGCATGGATGAATTTTTCTAGATCCTGCTGGACATTAGTCCTTTAATCCTGGAGATGTTCTTCAGGTGACTGGAGCTTCTCCTACTCTCCCAGTGTTCTTTACTACATTCAAAACTTGTTCCCAATACTGATATAAAAGATATTTTCTCAGATTAAAGGGCCTCAGAAGATATCTTAGTGTTCTCTAGTGGAGGGAATTAAATAAAGCAGCTAAACACATACAGATATCTGGTCATTGTTACTGATAAAATCCTCACTTTAATACACACTGTGATAAAGAATAATAAAATGCTCTGAAAAAAGCTTAAACTGAAGCTGGGTTTAATTTTCAAAGCAAGTTGTGTTTTTCTTAAAGCTGCTAATAGGTGGAACTGTTATTACTACACACAATACGATGATTAAATGCCCCATTAAATAATCAAAATGACATTCAAAGTGATCAATTAAATAAGAACGTTACTAAAATCATTTAAAAATCTATATAATTACTTGACTCTTTGGTTATTAACAAATGTAGAGTGAAATAACTAGATGTGTTTTTAGGGCTAACCAGTCTGTGTCTCTCTAAGCTGAAATGTTTGGGAACTTCTGCGTTAAACAATAACTCAAAGTTCAGTTCTTTGACAGCGGCTGATTTTCACACCATAACAGATGACATCATTGATCTCCAACATTGAGGAACCCGTGGCCGATAGATCCATCTGCGCTCCCCTGATCCTAAACTGTTACTTCCACAGAAATAGTTCGACTGTTTCTGTTAACCCTCCTGTTATGTTACGGGTCAAATTGACCCGTTTTAAAGTTTGAAGATCTAGGAAGAATAGTTAAAAGTATTTTTTCAGTATGAAACTTCTTCTGCTTGCCTTAAATAGTGTAATCAACATATAATATGAAAATGGTTCATCTCACATATTTGCAACCACCCCCTGCATGTTTATATCACATAGATACAGTTCGGGTCAATTTCACCCAGCAGTCAAACTGGAGGTAAAACGGTGTCAGAAATGTCAGACTATTTCTTTCTTTGCAACTGTGAGACATCTCACACACACGAACACACACACACGTTCTGTCACAATATCCTTGTGGGGACCTTCCATTGACTTCCATTCATTTCCCACTAATTTATATGGCCTAACCATGACCCTTGCCCTAACCCTAACCATTACCGACACATACCTATCCCTAAACCTAACCTAAACTCAATTCACACCTTAGTCCTAAACCTAACCCCCACACCAAGAAGAGAAACTTTCATTATGGGGACCAGTTGTTGGTCCCCACAAGTACCTATGAGTCCCCAAAATGTAGCATATTCCTAGGAAATTGTCCCCACCAGGTATTAAAGACATGGCCACACCCACACACACAAACACACCCACCCACACACAAATTTGATAATCGAGAGACAAGGGCTGGTGGACGGGAGAGAGACAACCTGGCAGCTGTTAGGACAGTGTGGGACAAGTAGGTAGAGCAACTTCCACTACTCTATAAACCAGGCCCTAATGTCACAGTGGATGAAAGGCTGGTGGCATTCAGAGGTCGCTGCCCATTTAGGCAATACATGCCTTCCAAACCGGCTAAATATGGGATAAAAATCTGGGCAACATTTGATGCAAACACCAGCTATGCTTTGAACATGCAGGTTTACACTGGAAAGCCGGTTGGAGGAGCCCCAGAGAAGAATCAGGGCACAAGGGTCATGCTCGACATGGCACAGGTTCTCAGGGAACAGAACATAACCTGTGACAATTTTTTCACAAAGTACAACTTGGGTCAGGAGCTTCTAAAGAGAAAGCTCACAATGGTCGGAACTGTCCAAAAGAACAGGGCTGAACTCCCTGCTGAGCTGCTGGTAATCAAGGACAGGGCCCCTCAATCTCCCATGCTTGCCTTCACAGATACCACAGCCCTAGTGTCTTACTGCCCCAAAAAGGCAAATAATGTTGTGCTCATGAGCACTCTGCACAAAACTGCTGAAATCAGCGCAAGAGAGGATCAAACACCAAGCATGATCCTTGATTATAATGCCACCAAAGGGGGGGTAGACAACTTTGACAAAGTGACAGGGTCCTACAGCACCAAACGGATGACTGCGCACTGGCCATTGGTCATCTTTTATAACATGAGCCATGTATCAGCCTACAATGCATTTATCATCTGGACGGAGATATTTCCTGACTGGAATGTGTCAAAGCTGTACAAGAGGCGCATCTTTCTCGAGGAGCTGGGGAAGGCGCTTTTGACGCCGCACATCAGACGGAGGATGCACCTGCCAAGGACCCTAGCCGATGCAGCCACAGTGAGGGAGATCCAGGAGAGGACTGCATCAAGTACACCAATGCGTGAGGTAAGTAAGTAAGTAAGTGGGTGTGTCTGTGTGTGTGTATTTGTTTGTGTGTGTGTATGTGCGCGTGTGTGTATAAGTGTATGAGAGTGTGTGTCTTGGGATCAGCAAAAAGACACCATAGTAAAGTAATCATGGTCCTCTTGTTTATAGATTGCTGCTGAGGTGAAAAAAAAGAGGAAGAGGTGCCAGGTCTGCAGGCCATCTGACGATGCAAGACAAGCATGACCTGCTCGAAATGTGCAAAATTCATTTGCACAAAGCACAGTGTGATGACATGTCACTCGTGTGCTGTGTAGATGTACAGACAGACAGACAGACACACACGCACATACACCTTGTTCATATTGCAATTGCTTGTTTTTTTGTATTTTTGTATTGCGACTTTGTTCATTTCTGGTTCCCAAACAGTGCATGTATGTAAAAAAAATATTTAAATGTTAAGTTTCAACGTTGTGTAAAACTATTGTGTTTTATATGTTGGTCTTTCAAAAGTAATAAAGTGGTGAAACATTAAAAAAAGTTTGAACATGCAGGTTTTTTTTTTGAAAAACGAGTGAATTATCATAATTGGATCATTACCTGTTAGAGGTAAGGAACACTATTGGACTAAATATTCATAGAATAGTTAGTAATGGAGTTAGCAATGAAATATTAAGAATGCTTTTGGGGATTTTTTTTGGTTTCAGACATCTTTTGGATAATTAAACATGCACCGGGTCAAACTGACCCGGGAACAGCATTGCTGTTCCTAATAAATGAACATAACAGGAGGGTTAAAGGAAATGATTACATCCTGTTCAATAAATGATCAGTGTTTTTAATTAAGAGTAATTTTCATGTGAATGTGTTTTACTGGAGGCATCCATGTTTGTCAAAGAACACTACTGCCACCTACTGGTTTGTGACGTCACGGTGCGGTATCGGCTGTTGATCAAGTCCCAGTGCTGTATCTGGTGTTTGTCACAACGCGCTATTATCCAAGTCATCTTGAAAACATTCTTCTTCCAAATGTTGGCTACATATTACGGGTTTTTTCTCTGGCCAGAAGTTCGATGGCAAATCCTCCCTCTTCAAGTTGGCGATCCAACGACCAACCCGTCCGTGGAGGATCAGGAATCAGAAAGGTGAAATAACCCTTTTTTTTCACTTTTCCCCGATGTATTCCAGCATCCAGCTGCCATGCACGTGGGCATTGTCAGTTTCACTATAGCTCTGGTGAATTTCAATGGTGAAGTCCTCTGGAAATCTTCAACAATTGTTGTTGATTGCAGATGTGTCTAGTAGTTCCCATTGATTTAGCTTGTAAAGCGGGGAGAATGGCGCTAGGCTTACCGCACCGTGACGTCACTGCTGGAAGATGGCAGGAGGGAGGGGTTAATATATTTGGGCAAAAATGGCCGCTCCAAGCAGCAGTGATCACGACTCTAAATTCATTAAATCTCTGCGAACGTATTCGTTTTAGGTATAATGATCCATTGATTATTCTTTGCTGACCAAACTTTTCATTTAAAACCTGTCAGTCTAGACCAGGCATCCCCAAACTCGGTCCTCGAGGGCCGCTGTCCTGCAGGTTTTAGAGGTTTCCCTGCTTTAGCACAGCTGATTATCATGATTGCAGTAGAGCTGAAGCCTATTAATCAGCTTTCAATTAAAATCAGCTGTGCTGGAGCAAGGAAACCTCTAAAACCTGCAGGACAGGGGGCCTCGAGGACCGAGTTTGGGGATGCCTGGTCTAGACAAACGTCCATAACAAGCTAATGGAGCTACCCCCTCTGTTAGATGCGTGCAGCTGACCTGGAATCTGTCTGAAGGACACTTCCATGATTAAATACTGGTTTTACACTGAAACTATACAGATAAATTGAAGCCAAATGAATGATTGAGATTTAATTAATCAGGAAACCGCTCCAGTCTCAAACATTTATTCGTATTTTCCTCCCGATTTCCTGTTCATAGTCGTTTCTATAGAAACGTAGGTTCATCTTATTGGCTTTTTATAAACCTCTGCCCATCTGGAGTTTTTCAGACCAACTATAAGGTCAGGTTGTTACCTGGTTGCCCCCCATCCGGTGGCAGGGGCCCATTTCCACATTCCCTCCATTGGTGTGTCCCATGCTGTCGATGCAGTAGCTGGTCTCAAACCCTCGGATCTGCGCTCACAGAAGCAGCAATTCTAAATCAATCCCTGTGATTAGTAGAGCAGAATAGGTAGGACTGCATCAGGCTTACCTCCCCCCACTCCACGTTCTTTGGAGGAAGAGGGTAGTGATGTGGGATGTCGTAGGCGATCTCCTCCATGAACCATTTGAAACTCTTGCATCGATGCTCCTCTCTGGAAAAGGTTTAAAGCAAAGTGAACCATTTGATCCATGATATGATTAACTTGATTATTTTCCCTCAGCTGAAGGAACTAAAATCAAAGTAAAAGACAGTTTTAGGGGTGTAACACGCCCTCATCAAGTCCCATCAGACGTTCCCATCAGCTGCAAACCAAGAGAGACTGAATAAGAATATGTGAAGATAACTTAATGAATTCAAGGAGGGATTTTATCCACCATAGATGCTTGAATTTGAATGTATAAAAAATTTTATTGAGTGAATTTTGTCCCAGTATTTGCAAATAGCACATTTTGTAAATGGGAAAAAAACCTGCAATGTAGAGATGAAACTGTGAAAAAGTCTCAATAAAAGTAACTGCAGTTTTCTGAAATCATTTTTTCTCTTTATTTCATACTAGACTCTTCTTGAAACAAGATAATCTGCTCTTGCTCAGTATATCAATCCCAAAACAAGATAAAAAAATACTTTTTGGACCAGATCTAAGACTGTAGGATGTAATTAGATGTCGATGTTTGCAGCGTTGTGTTTCATTCCTGATTAGTTCAGTTGTTTACATTTATAATCATTTCTTTCCAATTCATTATTTTAAGGTTACTCAGAGTGTTCATATGACTGTTTAAGAGTTATTCTGATATTCAAGTCTTAACAGAAATAAATAAATCGTGAAACAAAGACATCAGTGAGTGAAATGACCCTCTGGGTTTAGAACCCAGATTAAAGTCTGATCCTCCATCAGGATCTGAGCTGCAGGGAAGCAGGTGGTTCTAAGGACAGATTTGATCACTAATCAATGTGATGCTAGAACAGTATTATTCCATCTGACACTGCAAAATGGTCTAGAAATATTCTTAATTTCAGCAGGTAAAATAAGATGATTTGCCAATGGAATGCATCTTTTACTCTTAGAATAAGATAATTAGATATAATGTGCTTGAAATAAGACAATGCAATTGTTTTTTCCTATTTAAAATGTTAATTATCTTGTTCCATTGGCAGAGTGTCTCACTTACCTCCTCAATCTAAGAAAAAAGGACTTATCTAGATTATGATTGTTTGCAGTGGGAGAACCACATAAGGGAGGCAATGTTGGTCTCTTTAGATGTGATCATGATGTTAGCAGCAGTTCTGTATCATTGATTGATTGATTGACTTTACTGATCTCACAGTGGAGAAATGTACTCGTTACATCAGCTCAAATAGTCAAAGAAGAGGAATGTGCCAAAGGAAGAAAAAGGTGAATACAGTACGTCCACAGGTGACAGCTTTTTTTTTAATAGCAGGGTTATTAAATAGGGTGTTTACATGTGCAATAACCCCGTCTAATAATCCATACAGTGTTTGCTGGTGAACTGATTAGACAGAAAGGAGGACTGACAGCAGCTTAGCCTTAGCTGCTAATAACTTGATGCCAGAACCAGTTCTGTACCTGAAACGCTTCAGATCGCTGATGTCTCCGTAGGCCAGGGTCAGAGTTTCAGGACGGCTGGCGTAGAAGTAGTCCTTATAATCATCCCACCACACCTCCACCACACGGACGTAGTTCTGGGTGCAGACAGCAAAGCATGAAGCCAAAGCTCAGGATGAAAAACTAACACAGAAAAATAAATAGCGTCACTTTCTAAGTAAACCAACTGTGGAAAAAAGATTTTAAATGCTCAGCAGGCATGTTTGTCACATTAGATCCCCCCTGTACATCTGTTGGACGTCATCAGCCGTTCTGTTAGAGATGATGGTGGCAGGCCTGATAGATTGACTTTCATCTTTAATATGGTCTCAGAACCTCTACTGTTTTACTCCGTGTACTAAATCAGTTCCCTGACCGTGAACAGGACCCTGTGAAACATATGTGGACTTTTCTTAGGTCAGACTGTCTCTCTAGGAGAGGGTTTGGTTTTTCTCTGGGAGCTAAACCCTGTTCTTTAGATCATCTCATAAATCCAGGACTGTTTTTTCTCTTTGCATTTCAAACTGTTCTCAGCGACACCTTTAGCTGTGGGAGAAATAAAACTTAGTACAGGACAGGATGCCTGATGCCAGCTTCGATCGCTGTTCTTATTCTGACAAGAATTTTACAACTGATCTCCTTTAACTGAATTTATTCAGGCAAATATTTCATTTTTTATTTGAAGTGTTTTGTCCTGCCTCTCTCCTAGTTATAGTTATGGACTTAGTTGTTACTTTAACTAACTCGATCTGCTAACCTTTATCCTCTAAGGCATGAACACCGTCTCAGAGCTCATCTGTTTAACTGTTTCTTTCCCAGACAGAGTCAGCTGTAGAGCTAGTTTAACGCCACCTTCTCTATCCTAGAAAGTATTTATATATCAGTGATTCTATGTTGAACCCCAGTCGGCCTCAGCAGATGGCCGCTCACACTGAGCCTGGTTCTGCTGGAGGTTTCTTCCTGTTCAAAGGGAGTTTTCCTCTCCACTGTCGCTACAAGCATGCTTAGTGTGAGGGATTGCTGAAGAGTCAAGGATAGAATGCAAGCAAATGATTGCTGTGTCCATGTGTTCATCCAGGAGAAATAAATCTTATCTTGTAAAGTCAGCTGGTTTTCACACTTTGAAAATGTAATCTGACTGGATGATCTAACTGAGTTTCCTCTGTATGGATCCTTCAGATGACGCGTTCTGAATCGACAAATTAAACGGAATTGATAGACAAACAGAGCTGCAGCTAAGAATGACCTGGAAAGAAAACCCGTCAAAGACAGATATGCCTGTTCTACATAATCAGCAGGTGGATAGTCCCTGCTGATGGATAACATTCCCACAGAATAATGCTGCCACTCCTTTATTTCACAATAGAGGAGAATGATTTGCTGTGTTAATTTTTCTGCAGTTTATCCAGTATTAGAAAGTCTGAGGAGTTTGAATGATAGTGCAACACCACGACCGGTGTTTGTGTCGAAGCTCCTGAGGCTTCTGCAGTCCTACCTTTAGCGTGGGGGAGGAGCCAACGTGTGCAGGTGGGGGGTTTCCCTGCCAGCCCTGCAGCCTGTAGATATGGCCGACACGAGAACATGGCACAAAGAGCAGCTGGCCGCCGCACTGCCAGATCTGCAGGACGAACCGGGAATCATTACGACAAAACAGACCTTCAGCAGCCAGACGAACACCACAGAGACGTCATCATATAATATCATACCTTATAGGATATTTCAAAGTTCTCTCCTCCCCATATCTGCAGGCCGGGATCATACAGACCCAGCTCAAAGAAGAACTCTCGCTCTATAGCAAAGAGACCTCCGGCCATTGCTGGAGATCTACAGCGACAGAAAACGTACATCAACAAGCAGCTGATTAGCTACTGCTGCCTTTTAGAGGGAGATTATTAAGAAAACACAGATTTGAAGATGAGAATTAATGGGAGGCGATGTGAGCATGAGATGATCAGACAGACAGAGTCCCCCGATGACATGAGATTAAAGAGGAGGTGAAACCTGCCTGTAAACCAGAGGAAACGTCCAAAAAGCCAAACCCAGACTTTAGATGCAGAACCTCCAGGCCTCTCCCGGGGAGACAGAGCTGAGCTGCAGCTACTGCCCCGGAGGGCCGGGGGTCTACTGTGGGCTGAAAACAGCTTCAGTCCAGCTGAGCGGGAAAATCCAGCAGATAGCAGATCGTTTAGTAGGTTAGTTATGAAATTTGGTTGCTTAGATATGATATACATTACATCGAGCTGTCCTTATATGGTTTTTAGAGGCGGCTGGAACGTAGTGTATATCATAAAGAAATATGGTCAGTTATTCCAGTCCAGGTGAGTCAGGAGGTATTGCTGATTGGTACCTATATGGCTCAGTTACTGTTTTTCTCAGGTTTTTTTCCCTGTCTCCGAGCGGGATTCTCTTCCAGAGCATGCTCCAATCCCACGCTCCTCTAGCAAAGCCGTTCTCGTCTCCTCCACCTTGGGGCTCGATGTTGAACCTCTGGCCGTGGATGGAGTCGATCAGAGGCACCGTACAAACAGTTCTGACAGTAGAGGGGGGGGGGGGGGGGGGGCGTGCAAACAGGACACATGGAAGGGGTAGGGGGGTGGGAAGGGGGTGGAGGACACCAACCGAGACGATGCACGACACAGCACAGAACACGGAGGGTGTGGGAGATGGAGACAGAAAAAGATCAGGGGTGAGTTGAACATGCTGAGTGTAAGTACCGGTAGGGTTGGGTGGTATATTTTCTCTTGGCCTTCTCTTTCTGGCTAAGTGGGACTCTCTTCCAGAGCAGGCTCCAATCCCAGGCTCCTCTAGCCAGGCCGTCCTCATCTCCACCCTGCTGGGGCTCCATAGTGTACTTATTACCATCTATATAATCTATCAGGGGAACTGTGCAAACTGTCCTACATGTAAACACACACACACACACACCTTGCATTGAGATGTGAGGCTGCATGGAGGGAAACCTGCTCCGTTATTGTTGCAGGAAAAATAAGACAAAAATGTTCATGAAAATGGAAAAAAATATACATATACAAAATGTCTCATACTTTAGTAATGAGACATTTTATATATGATAAGCAGATAAATAAGCAATCCAGAAATAACACTTGGAAAAATGTTTCAATAAAAAAAAAATGTAAACTTTTAAATTTCTCTGTTTCAGATTAAGATTTTTAATGTAATTTTCTCTTTTCTTTTTCTCTTCACACTATTGGTCCGCTGGTTGAGAAACTCTGGATCGAGCTCAAAGTGAAGAGAATATGATGCTTAAAACTCAATCTGGCAAAAAAGAAAAATAAACATTCTATCTACAAAACCTGTAAAAGAAAGATATGAAAAAAAAACTTTGAAAACCTGTAAAAATAATGAAAAAATAACATTTGAAAGAATAAAATCTACAAAAATAAAATTGATTTTTTAAAAAGCGATTTTAGAAAACAGCAGAGTATTTTTGTTTTAAACAGTTTTTAAAAGTATCATCCCTGGATTTCTCTTTATAATGTAAAAATACATTCTGTGAACAATTTCTATTTATTACAGGATGTCTTTTTATTTTTCTTTGCAACAATAATGGACCAAATTTACCTCTATAATGTAGCTGGAGCAGAAAAAGCTGCATCATGATTATACTTCAGTAATGAGCAGCTACATCTCAATAAATCAGAACAGCATAAACATAATCCCAACAGAGAATACATTGATTACAGATTATTGATGATGTCTGGCAGATTAAACACTGATCTAGACAATAAAAAACATTTCATTGTAATATAATGACCTTCATGAAAACAGTTATCATCTACGTCCCCTTCCAGGAAGATGGAAAGTCTTCTTTCATAGATAGAACTAAATTCCCTCAAGTGATAAATAAACATGTTAAAGAGCAAAGGGACTCTAAAAAGATTTTTTCTAAAAGTTAACCACAGAACACACCGAATCCGATTTTGCGTCCAATTCGACAGAAAATTGCGCCTTAAAGGTCGTGGCGTTTAGCGCTCATTGGAAGTCAATGGGGATTATTTTAGTCAGACTACGCAGCAATTCAGTGGCAATTTCATGGGTCTGACAGGAAGAGAGACACAGTTACAAAGTAAAACACATCCGCCTTGGGAGAAAATAAAATCTGTGAATCTTACGGGGAAAGAGTAATTTCTGGAGTCTCACATCATGTATACAGTAAGCAGGACAGACTGGAGCAAAAACAATGAATGAAACATTAAAAATAGAAAACTTTCTCCATGACAGGAGTTCAGGAGGACAGAAAACAGATAAAGTAGGGACAAGTAGTGAACAGTGCAGTTTATCAATCTCTTTTGAAAAAAGAAAAGCAATAAAGTAAGGTGGAAGAAAACAGTCTCATTGGAATCTGCCTTTTTTTGTACACCGAACTATAAACAATACATTTTTTGGCAACTGAATTTTTTTGCAACTAAATTGTTTGCAGTTGAAGTTTTTGATGCTGATTTTTTTGCATCCTATTTGTTTGCAGCTTAATTTTTTTGCAATTGATTTTTTTTGCAGCTGAATTTTTTATGTAGCCGAATTTTTTGTAGATGAATTTTTTTGTACATACATTTTTTTGTAGCTGAATTTTTTTGCAATTGATTTTTTTTTTTGCAACCAAATTTTTTTGTAGATAATTTTTTTTGTAGATACATTTTCTTGTAGATAATTTTTTTGCAGCTGAATTTTTTGCTGCTGACTTTTTTTTTTGCGGCTTAATTTTCACCAGAAAAAAAATTCAGTGTAAGGCATTCTCAATGTGTAAAAAAATTCAGTGTTACAAATACATTGTAAAACAAAAAAAAAAATGTGTTTAAAATTTGGTGTACAAAAATAGGCAGATTCCAATGAGACTTCTTTTCATCCATACTTCTCTATCTGCTCTATAACAGATATGATAGTGAAGCATCTTGCTTTATTGCTGCGCTGATGATTTATTATTTAGCATTTTTTAGTCATTTGTATAACCTTTCATGATCTGTCAGAGTCAAAAGTGGGAAATTGTTTTAATGTGTGTAAAGCACAGAGACAGAAGTGAAAATAATCTGCACAGATCGGCCCATCCTGCCTAGTCAGACCCTCTCTATACGCGGTCAGTGGGACGTGGGAAAAAAATCAGATCAGAGATTAAAAAGTCATACGCAGCCGGTGTGTTCAGGGCTTTATGCGTTACATTCCTGCTGAGCTTCACTTCTAAAGGCCTAATGAGGACAGCAGTCAGAAAACGGGTCCAGCCTACCTGTCCTCTGAGATGGGCCCAACAAGCGGAGCATACCAGTTGATTCCAACCTCACAGTGAGCATCCAGGTAGATCAGAACCTACAAAATAAAAGCATGCTCCATTCAGCAGACGTTTCCTCTGCGGTCTTCCTTCTATTCTTTCCACTTCTTTATAATGCGTTTCCATCCTGGCACTGAAAGGCATCACAAACTTCACACTATTTGGATGTTTCTCAGTCAGAATGCCTCTTATTTTGACAAAAGAATAATCCTAAAAACACTATTTTCTAAGTTTTTAGGGGATGAAACAGGTTAAAATTAAAATCGTAGCTCATGCCATTAAACCAATAGGTTTTAACGGACTTTACTAATTATTAATCAGTCATTCACTGTAACCATGAGTATGGGTAAAACATTACTAGTTTATTATTAGCCCTAATGCAGTGACACTGGGTATGCATGCGGCCTGAGAGGTCAGGATGTTTTACTAGAAACATTCTAATCCAGTCCAGACTGACCTGGAGAGAACATGCAGGAGGATGTTTTCCTTGGCCTATTAGTGAGATAAAATGTTTTCCTGTGTTCCTGCCTGAATAGGAGGTGAGTTCAGAGAAATCTTCTACCAGCGTCTATGCTGTAATGTTTAAGGTAGGGGGGACAAAAAGCAGATGGCTCCCTACTCTAGACAAGCGTGAAGGGAGGGTCACGACAGACAAAAATGATTCACACAGCCTCCTTCATGCTGTGAACGAGAGACCTGCTCTGAGTGTTTCTCTGCTAAAATCTAAGTCCTTGATGAATGTTTTTTCTTGGGAATAACCAAATGTTCAAGAGTGATAAAGTTTCCTTATGCAGTGGGTGGGTTCGTTGCGTGTGTGTGATTTTGTATGGTATAAATGTATGTACTGATATGCCCCAGTCAGATCTCTATCTCTCCCTCTGAGGACGTTAAATAAATTTGAACATTATTGCTAGCAATAAAAGCCTCAGACTGTGTTTCCCAACTTTACAAACGCTAATGCTTGATCTAAGAGGAGAAAGGTGGAGCAGCAGAAGGACAGAACTGAGATGCTGAAAAGCCTCAGCTCTGAGTCAGAGCGCTGATCAAACCCGCTATCAAAGCTAATTCCCATGCTGAGAAACAGACAGAGCAGCCGCTGATACCTGTCCTTTGGTGGCCTTATTGGCTCCGATGCTCCTGGCCTGGATCAGTCCCTCCCTTTTATCATTTCTGAAGAGTTTCACCAGGCCGTTCCACTGCTTGATGTAATCCTCCAGACGCTCCTTCAGATGGACTGCAGCCACACAGAGAACAGACATTTTCACAACCACTAGTTACAGTCAGACTAATTGTGATTAGATGGAAATATGTCAGAATGTGGAGAGGCTGTGGCTCATAGTTTAGTTACTTTAGTTATTAATGAAGCTGGTTTCTATATAATAGCCTGTAACATATTCCGGTAGGCACATTTATCTGTGCTGCTAAATGCTTTTTTATCTTTAGGAGCAGATGATCTATGCCTCAGCTTCTAAATGAACAGCAGAGATGAGAAAAACGTCTGAGTCTGTCTGATGAGGGAATCTGGAGCTTTGTTCTCTTCCAGACATCCTGCGCTCACAGGGAAATCTATGGGACCGGCATCACTACCGACTGACTTAATCAGGATATTTCTGATTGTTCATTGGGACAAACATCTCTGACATTATATCAGTCCAGTCAGGAAGCATAAGGCAATTATTTCCAGACTAAATCAGGGTCAGGTGGGCCACAAATGGTTTGATGAAATTTGGTTTTCTTTTTTTTTTTGGGAACACAGACAGAACTTCAGAAAATGAGAACAAGAGCAGGTATTTGGGAATTAACAGCCATTTTGATGTACTTAAAAACGAGGAGCAGCGGAGGGAAACAGACGTAAAACGCTGGAGGAGAAAATATCTCATAAAGGAAACTGTAGTTCTATAGATAAAACAAACTATAACAGGTCATCCTCACATATTAATCCACTTGATAGAAAGTCTGATTTGATAAAATATCCAGTAAAGCTCTCTGAGGGCTGGCAGTGGTTTCCTGCTGCTTTGCATAGCGGCTAAGAATCAATATAAAACATTTTCTCCAAGCACCACAATATAAAATCTACTATTTAGTTAATGTAGGTATTTATAAATTGTTTAATCAACGTTTTAGTGGATTAATAATGATCAGAGATCTCTCTCTTTTCTTAATATATAAAGTAGTGCTGTCAAACTATAAAAAATTTTAATCGCGATTAATTGCATAATATCAACAGTTAACTCAAGATTAATCGCATATTTTATCTTTTTATTTTATTTTTTTTATTTGGGCATTTTAAAAAATGCAAATGTGCAATAATGTAAAAAAAACTTGCTCATACAATAAGTTTTTTTTAATTATAATTTTTTTAAAGCACTTTTTTTTTTGTTTTTTTTTTTTTGTTTTACAGTGTCCTGTCTGGCAAGGTGGCAATAAGAATAATAATAGGGGTGCATCTTGTGGGGCGCGGGGGCTAGTTCGGGGGTCCTTGGGGCTCGGGGGGGTGCTCGGCGCGGGGTGCCTGGCGGGTCTGGCCCGGGGGACTGTTGCCCCCGTCGGGGCGGGGTCTGGGGCGCCGCGGGGGGGTCCTGCGGCGGCCGCGTGCGGTGCTCTTGGGGGGTTCTGTGCTGCTGCTGGGTGGGGCTGGGCGCCGGGCATCGGTTCTTTTGTGGTGCTGGCCGGGGTGCTTCTGCTCTGCGGGGCGTCGGGGTGTGCCCCGTCTTCCGGTGCCGGGTTTCGGTGGTTGGCCGTGGCGCTTGCCGTGGTTGCGTCGTCCGGGGGGGGGGCGTGGGTGGTCGCGCCTGTGGCCGGGGTTCGTGTGTGTCTGTTGTGGGCTGGTTGCGGGCGTCGGGGGTCCCTTTGGAGCGCCCCCGGGTCGGGGTGTGGCTTCGCTCTGTTGGGGCGGGTGCCGGTGGCGCGTGGTGCGGTGCATCGTGCGCGGTTTGGGAGTGGAGGGTTGCTCGGTGTTTGGCGGCGGGGGGGGGGACGGGCCGTGGCCGGCGTGGCCGTCCTCCTCTTGGCGGCCTGTGGGCGGTGCGGGGCCGGAGCGGGGTGGGTCGTGCTGCTTTCGCGCCGGGCGCGGCGGGAGTGGTGGGGTCGCGTCTGCTGCTTTCTTTTTGCTGCTTGTGCCGGCTTCTGGCGGCTGGGGCGGCCTTGCTGCTCTGGCTCTCTGGCGTGCGCCGGGTGGGGCTGCTCTGTCCTTTGCTTTGCCTTGCGGCTGTGTTTGCTGTGGTCGGTGGGGGCGGGGTGGTTTCGTTGTGTTTTTGGGTGGGGGAGTCCGCCTGGGGGCTAGGTTGGTGCCGTCGGTGCGTCCGTGTCGGCCTTCCGGTGTTGTTTCTGTTGGGGCTGCTCGGGCCCCCGCATCCCGGCGGTGCGCTGCCGGGGGGATTCCTGTTCGGCGGGCTTGCCTGTCTCCTGGGAGGGCAGGCATGTTGACTTTTCTGGGGAGGAGCATCTGGGTGGAGGGGTCCTCGTGGTGTGGCGGTGGGTGTTGGGCACTGGCTTGTTTGCGGCCGTTCTTCTCCAGTGAGGGGGAGAATATTATAATTTTTTTTTTTTTTTTTTTTTTTGTGTGGGAGGGGGTGTGTGGGCGGGGGGATCGGGGCTTGGAGTGGGGCTCGGGATTTGCACTTTGCTGTGTTGTGTGGCTTTCTTCTTCTTCGGATTGGTGCTGTGGGACCGGTGTTGGGGGGGAGTCGTTCGGGGGCCGGGGTTCGGGGTGGGGGCGCTGGCGCTGGCGCCGGCGCCGGGGGTTTTTTGGGCATTGCCCGGCCCTACTGCGGGGTGGGTCTGGGGTGGGTCCTGGGGTCTGGGATCCCTGGGGCGCATTGCCCTTGGGCGGGGTCCCCGGTGGGGGTTCGGGGGTTTGGGTTCTGTGGGGAGTGCTGCTTGGGTTCTGGGCCGGTGTACGCCCGGCTGTCTGTCCCTGCTGCCACGGCCTCTGGTGTGCCGGGGTGCCTCGGGGCCTGCTGGGCTGGGGGGGGGGCATGGACATTAACACCTATGGCAAGTGCTTACCCCCTCACGGGTTTGCACTCTGTAAGTGGGGGAAGGGGAGGGAGGGGGAGTAGGTATGATCTCGGCCTGGATGTCTTCTGTCGCTTGTGTGGTGAGTAGCTTGATTGTTATTGTAGGGGAGGGATTACATCTCCGGAGGGGGGGTGGGGGGTGGTGATAGAGGGAAGGAGATCTTTGAAGGGCTTCGGGTCTGGCTCCCTGTCTTGGTCCTGGTCCGTGCTGCCCCCTGGTGGGGCTTCGTCCGGGGTGGGGGCTCTGCGTGTTGCGCGTTGGCTGGCCGGCTGGGGTTGTCCCCCCCCTTATTCATTTATTTATTTATTATTATTATTTTTTTTTTCTTATCTTCCTTTTATATTTTTTTATTAATTTAATTTATTTGTTTATTTATTTATTTATTTTTTTTATTTATTTATCTACTTATTTATTTATTTATTTTTTTTTTGGATGGACAGGACGGGGGGGTGGTGGTGGTGTCGGCTCCGTGCCCGGCTGGCTGGTGGGTCCTGCTGCCGGTCCCGTGCCCCCGGGCTATGGTGGTGAAACTGGTGGGGCCCCCTTCTCTGGGGGGGCTCTCGGGGAACGGGGGTGCCTATTGGAGTCAGCGGGGGAGCTGGCTCCCTGGGAGTGCAGCAAGCACCCCAGTCCTTTGCTCCCCATCCCCGAAATCCTCCCTCTGCCTGCTCCATCACTCCGCCACACATGTAGGTTTTTGGGGAGGGGGTCGTTACTGGAGGGCCACACCTTCTGATGACGTCCCCCACACCAATTTTATTTTGCATTTTAGACACTTCCATCTACATCTTTTTCACAACACACATCTATGTAGGGCATTTTCGGGGGGTGGGGGTCAGGGCCACAGGGGGGGGGGGCTTATTTTATGGGCCTCACCACGGTCGGCCTCCTCCATCCCCTCTCGCATCTAGACATTGAGGGTTGAGGGTTGTCGAAGGGGGGGGGGGTGCTGGCACCGTCTATCTCCTGGAGGGGGGGTGGAGTGTGCCGGACACCCCCTCTTGGTACTCCCAGTTTTAATTGCATCTGAGAGCAACACGCAACAACACCACATCCGAGCGGGCGCAGGGAGGATCGGGGTCTTCTCACACCCCTGTTGTCCGGCTGCCGCCTGGAGTCTGGGGCCTGGAGGAAGAGCGGGCCGCCTGGTCTGTGGTTTTGGCTGGGGCTGGCTGCGGGGCCTAGGTGGCCTGCTGGTGGCGGGGCTGTCACCTCTGCTCTCCCCAAAGAAGGTTGGATGGAGGGGCATGAAGTGCCTGGTTGAAGGTTTTTTTTTTTTTTTTTTTTTTTTTTTCTCTTTCTGTTCGGGGGGGGGGGCGGTTCTGGTTGGGTGGCCGGCGCGGGATGGGTGGGCCCCGGTCCCGGGGGGGGCTCTTGCTGGGGGTGGTCCGGTCCGTGTGCGGGGTGGGGGGCTGGGCTTGAAGCAGGAAAGAGATGGGTTGGTGTGGCGGTGTCGCCGCTCCCCTCCCCTCACATCCGGATTTTAGGTTCACTTATGGGGTCATCCGATAGTCCCGGGACCGACCACCGGTGTCACCGGGTTTTTGGTCCTGGTATTATGGATGTGAGTGTTATGTGTGAATGTGTGTCCGCGTTGTTATTTTCTTTATTTATTATTATTATTATTTTATTCAATTTTTTTTTTTTTCCTGTGGTACGAGTGGGGGCACTAGGGAGGGAAGGCATGATTGAGATGGTGTGTTTTTTTTTTTCCTGTGGTACGAGTGGGGGCACTAGGGAGGGAAGGCATGATTGAGATGGTGTGTTTTTTTTTTTTTTTTTTTTTCTCCCAGGTTGGGGTCTCAACCGCACCCTCTCCCAAATACATCTCAAGTCTCCGCTAAGTGCGGAGCCCATTCCCCCCGTCCTGCTCTCCCTCCGCTGGCTGGCGTCGGGGCTCACCGGTGCACTGGTGGAGCTGGGGGTGGATGCCCGGGGGACTGCTGGCTCATTCCTGGCGGCCTCTCCGCTGGCCCCGGCCGGCCGGGGCTTTGCTGGGGCTCCTGTCTGGGGATCGGGTGCCCTTGGGGCCTCGGATCCCTGGGGCCTGGGACTGGATCCGCTTCGGGGTGGGGCTGGGTGTTGTTCGGGGATTTTCGGGGTCGGTGCCGGTGCCTTCGCTACGATGCCGGTTCCTGGGCGGTGTTTCTTTCCTATGCCGGTTCTGTGGTACCGGTTCGGGGGGGGGGGGGAGCTGCACGGCATGGTGGGGTGCGGGTCTTGGGTCCTGTTTTGGGCTCCGGTTTTTCCGCTCGCACTTCTCCTCTTGCCTATTTATTTTAATTGTAATTATTAATTAATTAATTAATTAACCTATTTATTTATGTTTTTTTTTCTCTTCCTCGGTGGGGGGGAGCGGTTGCGGGCGGGTCGGTGTCTGGTGTCCGCTGTCGCATTGTGGGGGCATTGTTTTTTTTTTTTTTTTTTTTTTTCTTCTTCTTCCTTTGGGGGTGTTTGGCATGTCTGTTTTCTCGGGGGGCGGGCGGGCCTGCTGGGTGGGGGTCCTGCTGGCGGCGCGCCGCTGGTGTGTGGGGGTCCGGGCGACTCCGGCGGGGGTAGTGTTGGGGGGCCGGTCTGGGTGGGCTGGCTGCGCTGGCTAGGTATTCGGGTGGGTTTTCCCTCCTGGAGGCATGGCGGGGCTGCTCTGTTCCCGCTGATCGCGGCGGGTGGGGCTGCGGGGCGGGTGGGGGCGGGGAAGCCTGAGTGTTTTCCTGGGTGGTGCGGTCGCGGTGGGTGTTGCGGCCGGTCGCCGGGGCTTGGTGCTGGGGGGCGGGGCGTGTTTCGGTGCTCTGTGGGGATGGGGCGTTTCGGTCGGCGCCGTGGGGGGGCTGGTGTTCGGTGCCCGGCACTACTTCGGGGTGGCCGGCTGCCGGCGGGGCCCGCGGACTCGTCCCCGCGGCTCCCCGGGGCGCCGGCATGGCGGTGGCTGGGGGGCGTCTTCGTGGCTGTCTCTCCTCCTGCCTTGGTGGGGGTCTGGTTTCCGGGGCTGGCCCCGCCTTGGTGCCTTCGCTTCTGGGGTCCCCTTGGGCGCCTGGGGCTTTGGGTCTCCCGGCGCTGGACTCAGTGCTCTGGGGGGTGTGCCTCTCCGGCTCTCCACAACCACTATTGAGCATTTTTTCTATGGTTAAAACTTTACATGCACAAGTTCACCCTCACAAACAACTACAGGTGCTAGGCTTCAGGTACTTAGAGATTCACTTCCAAACAGAAAACCCACATTCATATCTTCAGGTAACACAGAGTACATGTCAGACTTAATAATATTACGTTAGCGATAGTTTCAAGGTGTTTGCTTTATTGTATATCTCGTACCATGTTTTTTGGTTGTGCTGTTCTTTTTTTTTTTTTTTTTTTTTTTTTTTTCCATCTCATTACAGGTGTTGAAGCAGACTGAAAATGTTTTGTCATTGTCTCCTTCCTATCTCCTCTTTCTTTCATCTTTTGTCCTGTTTTTTTCTTTTTCTTTTTCCTTCTTCTTCTTCTGTTTTTCTGCTCTACTTACATTGCAGTGTCCATATGAACTGTAAAACTCCCTGCATAATTATAACAAAGCAATTTATATACATGAAACAAGTGGAGCAGTATGGCAATTGCCATACCGCTACACTTGTGAAAGTAAAATCTGTTGGGCTCCTTTTGGCATCAAGACAATTATTCTTTTAAAGCACTTTTAAAAAACTAGAATAAAAATATCCTGGTTTAAATTCCGGCCAATAATTATTCAAAAATTGTAAAAAAAAATTACAAAACTACAGAACAGTAAACAGTACTTCAAAGAACTCCATAAAATTACGTTTTTTCTCAAACATAGGACAAAAATAAAGATGTACTGTTAATAAAGTGCACATTCCGTTATGAAATTCAGATTTAATTCAAATAAAATGAAGTTACTCACAAAATAATAAATAAATCAAACGAATTTACAATAACTGGGCTTTGCAGTCATCTCAACAACATAACATTTTACATGTAGAACATTTTCAAAATGCTTTAATATTCCTTTGGTCTGAACAGGAATTGCAGCAGCAGTGCATTCCACATGACTTAATTTATTTCTTTGTCTTGTTGGCACTAAGCCAGTGAGACGCTTGTTTCTTCTGGACAACATAGACAGACGACTCGGGTTTTGTCAAGACAGCCTTCTGGGATAACTTTAAAATGAAACTTATCATTCAGGATACCTCGTCTGCTGGCCATTTTTGCTCATTCAAAGCCCGGGTCTGTTATGCTGCGGACTCTCCCAAAACTTAGCGTTCCTGAAGCTACGGAAAGCGCCGAGGGTAAAACAAACAGTACAGCGAGCGCTGCAGAAAAATAAAGAACAAAAGCGCACGGTGCGTTTGTTTTGATGCGCGATTAACGTGCGTTAAAAAAAATGTCGGCGTTATAGTCTAAAGCAGTTAACGCGTTAATAACGCTTTAAAACTGACAGCCCTAATATAAAGAAATCCATCCTTTTTAGGTAAAACCAGTGCAGTTTAAAGTCTTTAAATATTCATTTCTATTCATTTAATGCTGACAGCTCTATTGAAGTGATTACAGCCTGCATGTAGAGCCTGTCTCCCAGACAGCTCCAGGATCAGCTCCTCTGATTGGTTGATGCTCCAACATGCAGATATTTCCCAACTGATTGCTGCAGTAGACTTAAAAGCTCAGAAAGCTGCAGACTCTGCAAACAAGGGGAAGGCTCTCTGCTCTGGAAGATTAAAAGTCGTCTCCTATAGACATTGGATGTAAACCAAACGTCTAGACGCTCAAACCAAACTTGTTTGAGCACGTCGGACATCCTATGTGGACAAAAGTGTTGTGTTCATCATAGAGAAGCGGCTGACTCTCAAACATCACTGTCTCATTCATTTTAAGTCGAAGGGAAGCGGCCGTTCCAACCTTTGCATTTTTCCCGAGTGGTGCACGACTTTACACCACTGAATAAAGTGAATGTGATTGGTCGATTATCAAAGGAGTGATTGCTGTGGCAGAAAGTTCCCAAGCTTTTTGATTTTGGCTGTTTTGTCAGAAGCATCTTGCTAACTAGTTAGCAACAAAATGGTGACTTAGAAACGACGCTGTCAAGGAACGCTATGGACAGAGGAAACATGCAAGAGGAGGAGTGTTTAGTGTCGGAGGTCGTGGATGAGTCTCCCCCGTCATCCATTTTTTATTTAGAGGAGGAAAGCGGGGACGAAGATGTTGTGGAAGAGGACGCCAGGGCGGCAGAAGCTTGGTTTGGTGTAGAAGGCTTCCAGCCGTACATGTTTGAGCCCTTGTCTCGCAACGCTGCCAGTTCTGTTAGCTCTACGCCTGCTGAAGACACAGACGTCCATCCCCGTGAACACTGGGACGCAACTCAATGGGAAAGGAAAGGATTCTGATTTCAACCGTTGCGTATATTAGCTGCAACATATGAATCAAGATGCTGTGACCGAAAAAATTTGATTGACAGATGACCGTTGATATATGATTGGCCAAATTCAGGTGTTCAGGCTGACGTAGAACTAACTGGCCTGCAGAAGATAACGAAAGAATCTTAAGACAGGATTTTTTTTTTTTTTTTTTTTATAGAAATTTTCTAAATTTTGGAACAATATGGTCTGATACATTTATACATTTAGAGTACATTTATATACATGTTTAAGCCCAAATGATTTGACATCTAAATATGACTTCCCTACGACCTTAAATCTCCAAATAGCTCTACATCAAAGAATTCCTTCTTATTAAATCTCAGCTCTTTGTTCTGAATTAGGGAAAAGAAATAAGTTTCTCTGTGACTCTATAGAGTCCAATGTTATGGATAATAGTGAAAGTTCTCTTTTTTCTTTTTTCATTTATTGCTCCGAATGTTTTCTTTTTTGAGAGAGGTGTTGTTCATCACTATATGAGGTTAAATTGAGAGGATAAAACATACAGACGTCCAGTGTACATTTCCTTAATAATAAAACAGTAAAGTGGAAGTAATCACGAAGCAACAACAAACCCACCTTTGTTACTGAAGTCGTCTATGAGGACGATCTCAGCCAGATATCTCCTGGGCGTCCTCTTGATGACGCTGTGCACGGTCCTCATCAGCGTGGACCAGCCCTCGTTATGGAACACTATGATGACGCTGGAGGTCAGCAGCCGGTCGTCATAGTGCCAGTATTTACACCTGGAGAGGAGGAGCCCATCAAACACAGTCAGACCGAGTCAGGAGGAAGAGCTGCAGGCCGATCGCGCAGACGTCCTTAAAGGAATATCAACTAACCAACTTGGTCCACTATGGACGCCTGAACACAACAATAGTTTAAGATAAATGTTGGAGCAAGAACACATCTGGATCTACCTGTAAACACCACCAGGAGGCGCTATGGGAGAGTCAGAAAACTGGGGGGTAGAAATCTGCACAAATTAAAAGAAAAATGTCCTCCCATTTGCTATGCAAAGATAACTTTTTATAATATATTTATAGAGAAAACAAAGAGGATTTGGGCTCTTCCTCTCTGACGATGTAATCAATAATTATCCCACCAAGGCTGGTAGATCGATCTGCTTCTCCTGTTTCTAAAAACGACCTGTAAGAGTCTGGCTTTCCACTTTAAAAGTGCTCAAAAACATGTCTGCATGTGGTCAGCGACATGATGATGGCTGACATTAAGCCCCACCCACTCTGCACAGAGAGATTCGATTTATTTTGTTTTGTTCTGATCTTTAAGGGTTTGTTTTAGAGCTTCAACTAACAATTACTGAGCAAATCGATGATCTGTTGATTATATTTTTCAATTAATTGATTAATAATCTGATATCAGAAGGTTCCTTAAAGAAGAGTTTTATTAAATTAAACCAGGTGAAGCTAAATCTGTTCCAGGTGAGGAGTTCTGGATAGAACAGATTAACAGACGGAAAACATTTTTTTTATCTTAAATCAAAAATGTTTAGATTTCCTTTTTTTTTTTTTTTTTTTTTTTTTTTTACAATCTTGATACAATTGCTGCACTAAGCGGGTCTCTCAGGCAGCTAAAGGCATGTTTTACAATCTCTATCCTCCAATTATCAATTAATTGATTACTAAATTAGTGGACGATTATTTTTATTAATCAAAATTAATCCACTTAATTGTTTAAAATATAATCTGGAATAACCTCCCAGAAAATGCTGAAAGCCTCAGTTGCTTTGAATCAGGAGGTAAAATGTATTTGTTTATAGCGGCCTTTCAAAAACTATATAAACATTTTTACTAAAGTCTAACCTTAGTTACATTTTCTTAATCCTCACATCTTTTTAAAGTCATATGGAAGCGGCTGTTCCAACGGTTGCAGTCCCAAATTCTTATTTCTGATTCCAACCGTTGCGTATATTAGCTGCGACATATCAATCAAGATGCTATGACCGAAAAAATTGATTGACAGATGACCGCTGAAAAATGATTGGCTGAATTTAGGTGTTCAGGCTGACGTAGAACTAACTGGCCTGCAGAAGATAATGAAAAAAAAAACCCATAGATTTTAAGACAGGATTTTTTTTTTATAGAAATTTTCTAACTTTTGCCACAATATTGTCTGAAAAAGAGTACATTTATATACATGGTAAAGCCAGAATGATTTGACATTTAAATAGGATTTCCCTCAGACTTTAACAGAGGTGTGAGGAAATGTGATATTATGGATGCAGCAGGGTGTTCCCAGATACATTTAAAAACTAAACCTCCCAAACTCTAAAGGATGGAAAAGGTGTGACTCTCTTTGTTCAGTAAATCTCTTCTACTCAACCATGAATAAGACGGTTTGTGACGCCACTACAGATATTTCTACATTGACCCATGGCATAGGCGAGGGCTGGAATTTGTAGCGTTCTGTACTCATTTATGTTTTAAATTAGTCCTTCATTTGAGGACAAAAACCTTTCAGGAAATTATGACGACAAAGATGAAACGATTCAAGAATTACAGGAACTTCAGGTACGTCAGCAGAGCCCTGCAGTCACTGATGCTTCACTTTCAGTTGGATCTGAGACACACCTTTGTTGGCGTGGAGCCGACTCCTGCCTGTAGGCAGTTTTTCCACCATTGCTCCAGCAGTTTACGCCTGCCAAGCTGTGGCTGAGCCATATTAACCTGTAGACGACTGTATCGCTAATGCTGTTTTTGACCAACAGGAAGGTCCTGATTTTCCTGCCTCAGACCCAGAAGGTGAAACATGATGGTTCTGCTGGGGAACACCGAGGGTTATATGTTATAAAAAAAAATAAATAAATAAAAACCAGGCTTTGAGCTGCATCTCCAGAGTAACAACGCAGCAGGAGGATTTTATTAAATATACCCGTCTGGGTATTTTATGCAGATTCCTAACCTGATTTAGTCTCCAACTGAAGCCATTTAATCTCCGTCTCCTTTCCATTTTATTCCCATGTTACTAACCGTCTAATGTTTGCTTTTTCACTTCACGTAACGTTTCATTTTCACATCAATTTGAAGATGAATCACAAACACCTTTAATATTTGAATGTTGTATTTTAAGTTTGTATCTACTTCCTGTTTCCTTTCTTTGCATTTCTTGCATTGAAGAAATTAGCTAAATATATTTTAGCATATATCCTACTTAGCTAGCTAAAGAGCTCATTACGGTTGAGGTACATAAAATGAGCCACCACCTAACCGCATCTGCAGCATTTATACGTATTTATGTTCAGCACAAGCAGCAAGCTGACAGCACCACACTACAGGAGGAAGTAGAAAAAACAGCCTGTAACATTAACAACGCCTCTTTGTGCTGTTCAAGGCCAACAGTCATTGCTTTCCTGGAGTTTTTCCAAAATCTGTTGATAATGGTGATATTTATGGGCTAAAATCACAGGATGTCTTCAGATGTTTACATTTGCGAACCTTCGCCAGCAGGAGCTGCTGCTCGCTCGCCATGTTTCCTGGAAGCCCAAAATGACGCAATTTAAATTAAACCCGGAAAAACAAAAACTTTCCCACTTGTTTAGAACTGGATACAACAGACTGAGAGATGTTTTTTTTTTATCTTAAAGGCACACTGTGTAACTTTTGGCCACAAGGGGTGCTAGACCTGTAACTGCCCGTATTTTCCTTCTACTAAACAGTGAAAATAATAAAGATTTACGGCTTTATACCAGGAGCAAAGGGTTAACTTACCAGTCTAATAATAAAGTTGCCTACAGCCTCCGCTGTTCCTTCTGTCTTGCTCTGACTTCCTCGGAGCTCAAGGAGAGCATGCGCTATATTATTAATAAATTAATAGTAGCAAAACATGCAGAAATGAACATTTAATTTAATATGACATATTAAAACAATCCCCATCAGCATCCAGCATATGTGGGTTTCTTCCCAAATATTTTCTATTTGTTGTGGATCTTTGTAACAGAGATATCTAGGATTATAAAAAACTGTTTTGTTTCTTCTCTACCTCCAAACTCAGCATCTCTGCATCTATTCCAGCAATAAGAGGTTTGTTTAGAAGTTGTGAGAGGCGCTCTTGGAAGTTTTGACTCGATTTGCTGAAACTTTTAAGCTTCTCAGTATAAAATAAATATTTTGATGAAGATGAGAAATCTGCTTCCTTGTTGGTAGAAATACCATTAGTTTGCATCCAATCATTTGTTTAACGCTCTTAGTTTTGGGGAATATTTAAGAATTAAGCTCTAATTTGTAGTTACCGATCTGTAGTTACTATATTTTTATTCGACAAACCAGATCTTCCTCATGTTCTTTTTCCTGTTATGTGCAATTGCAATTGCAGATCTTGACCTGGCCGGACCGGAGCGCTAACAATTGCTCCGTATTTTGAGGTGCAGACGGTGACGTCCTGAGGAGTAGCGGTGAATGTTTGGGGGGGGGGGGGAAGCGCTCTGTCAGCTAAAGGCATGTTTTAGAGTCTCTATACTCCAGTTAACGACTAATCGATTACTACATTTGTTGACGGTTATTTCAATAATCGATTCATCTGATTAATTGTTTCAGCCCTAAAGGGTTTTATCTGAATAACTAAAATAATTCTGCTCACCTCCTTGCTGGTAGGTCATTCTCACTGACTGGTTTACTTATATTGGACTAAGCCTCAGTTATAGAAGTAGTTTTAGTTTCAGACCTTTGACCTAAACACCAGCAGATAGCAACAGATAAACAGCTTAAAGGTTGCTATCCGCATGTGCATGAAATAACGGGATAGGAAGGACATAAACAAGGATGGAAAACCTAAAGCAGGATCCTCAAACCTCTACAGATCCCAGGAGATGAAAGTGAAAACCGTGTGGAGGTGAGTGTGACACAGTACTCACTCTTCATGGCGTAAATCATTGATGGTTCTGTCCAGGGAGATCATGTCACTGGCCACCATGTTGAAACCAAACTCCTTAATGGAAGCCTGGACCGAGTCTTTGTACTCCGGACCCAAAACGAAGGGCTTGGCTCCCTCCCCTGGACCCCCAGGGATTCCCTCAGCTTCAGGCTCCTTGGGCTCAAAGTTTCCCAGGATCCCTTTCCTGAGCACGGGGCTGTTGTAGGCGTGCGTCTGAGGTTTGAATGTGACATACTGCTGCTGGATGACCTGCTTCTGGTCCGGCTGCTGCTGCTGCTGCTGCTGGCCCTGAGGGTCGGCTCCTCCTGGAGGAAGCAGACAGAAACCAAAGGATCAGGCTGAGAAGCAACATCTAGATCGATCATTAAACATAGACCTCCCTCCTCTCTTTAATAAATCCTGGTTATTTCTAAAGCTGTGGTTTGTTTTTCCTTTTTATTGGTCTCACCATCCTATTTATACTTTAACCAGAGAGAACATCTATAGTTTCCACTCCTACATCGGCGCTAAGCTTTCTGGGTAATTAATAACTGAATCACCATTGATTAACAGGGATGTTTGGCTCTGAGTTGTATCAGTGAATGTTGTCTGGTCTGCTGGCCTGAATCCAATCCGGATGTCATTCCTGTGGTTATTGCTCCCTCCCATTACTGCTATAACAGTACTGAGCAAACCCAATCTGCCTGGTCTGATTAAAGAATTACAGGACAACCTAAACTCAACCAACCCAGCCCATAAAAATCACAATCTCACTGTAAATGTCCAAAGTCACATTATTTGACATTTATGCACCAGTATCTCACTCTGGGTGCAAACCATAATTTAATGAGGATTGATAGCGTAATGCTGGTGTAGAATTTGTTATTTTTTTGCTTTTAAGCTTTGCGTTTGCTCAGTTTTTTAGTAAATAAAGTATTTCTGTGTCTGTTTTCCATAACAACAACATGAGACCAGGATTACATCTCTGCACATGCGTACGTATCTGTCAACAAGCTGAAGAACAACTCTACAACCTCAACTTAAAGGAATAGTACACCCAAAACATGATTAGCCTTCATTTTCTACTCACCTCCATGCTGAACAACACTCTGGAGTACTTTTTTGATATCTCAAATGCATCTGGAGATCTGGGAGACTTCTTGCTGTCTGCTGACATTCAAATAATGGAGGTCTATGGCGCCCGAGACAGAAAGGTCCACAAAAGTCCACAAAAACTTGTCAATATTCCTCCATACTGCTCGTCCAATGTAATCCAAGTGTCCTGAGTGGGTAGCATCCAGAATTTACTCGAAACGAAGTCATTTAGAACGTTTTAGAGCCTAAACAGTAGTGTATAGGATTTCCTAATAGCGCCCCCATGCGCGCTCACGATTCTACGGAAGCCGGCAGACCAAACCAGCGCATTCAGCTCGGCAAAGAACTCATGCTCTTCCTCAACACTGAAGTCCTCAGACATTTTTCTTTCGTTGTTTCTTTCTTTGCACAGGTAAACAGCACATTTCTTCTTCTACGCTTGCATTATCGGCAGACCAGACGCTGAATGCGCACTTCCTTCCGGTTTGGTCTGCCGGCTTCCGTAGAATCGTGAGCGCGCATGGGGGCGCTATTAGGAAATCCTATACACTACTGTTTATGCTCTAAAAACATTCTAAATGACTTCGTTTCGAGTAAATTCTGGATGCTACCCACTCAGGACACTTGGATTACATTGGACGAGCAGTATGGAGGAATATTGACACGTTTTTGTGGACTTTTATGGACCTTTCTGTCTCGGGCGCCATGGACCTCCATTATTTGAATGTCAGCAGACAGCAAGAAGCCTCCCAGATCTCCAGATGCATTTGAGATATCAAAAAAGTACTCCAGAGTGTTGTTCAGCATGGAGGTGAGTAGAAAATGAAGGCTAATCATGTTTTGGGTGTACTATTCCTTTAAGGCAGCTCCTTTGTTTCCTTCTTTCATTAATGGATGAACTGATGAATACTGATACTGTCCGGCTATTGTCGTCATGGTTACCAAGGTCAGACGCGACAATAAGAACCCCATTAGTACGGACGCTTAGAGAATATTACCCTATTTTATCAGGATCAAATGGGTTTTGGTGCCTTTGGTAAAGGCATATAACTTTTGATTAAACCTGATCTTAGTGCCTTATTACTGTAGAATCAAGAGAATAAAAACATTGAACCTGTCTGACAGCATGAAGTATGATAAAAGAGCTCAGAAGCAACATATTAATCAAAGGAATAAAGGAAAAACAGTTACTGAAATCTGTCTAAATGTGACAAAGCTTTCAGCCAACTGAGATTAATCTAGAGGCAAAGCAGCAGTAGAGGTGCTGCAGTCAGAATTAGCTTTAGTTAAGCTCAGTCTTCATTCAGGTTCCTGTATTAATGGAGAACAAACATCCAGACATCAGCTCATCAGGCACACATGCAGCCGTACCACAGGCCGACCTCTTTATGGCTCAGAGAGGAGAAGGTTTTGGAGTGGCCTAGTTAAAGTCTGGAACTAAACGGGAGTTTATGGATGTGTGGACTCTCACCATGCTTCAGTCTGATAGAGTTCAGGTCAACCTCCACCCCCTCCACCCGGGGCCAGGGGACCACAGGCTTGAAATGATCCACCAAGTCCTCTTTGGGGAGGAAACTGTCCCCCTGCTTAGAACAAAACACAACATGGAAAGATGATAAATACAAACAGGCTGGATGGAAACATTTAAACCACAGCCTTGGTTTAGTCTGATCTCTGAGGAAGTGAAAAAGATACAACTTAGGGGCCAGAAGTGGCTCTAAGATAATCAGCAACGGGCCCTAAATCCCCTTAAATGGCATAGACAGACATTCAATGAAATATGACATTTTAAGCACGGTGATGGCAGCATCATGAATGGAGATGCTGTTGTTCATGAGGGAAAAAAATGTGGAGCTTAAGACAATGTGGAGGGAGACACAGGGCTGATACCTGGTTTTAGACCCACATCTGAACCAAAACTGAAAACAAAACGTTGTTTTTTCTCTAGAGAACCAGTTTAGTCTGGTTTGGATATTTTCTTCTCTAAACACACCTTTTTAAAAGCAGGTGCTTCCTAGGCACTCCTTCACAGACAGCTGTGTAGAAGGGTGTGCCTCAAAGGGCTCCTTCTACAAATAACCAGCAGGACTGATGTCAAACAATCATTTCCATGTGAAAAGTGGACGCTGAACAGAAAAGTAAGTTAAGGAGGGTGATGGAAATGTTTTCCTGGTGTGGATCTGGTTTGGTGAGTGAGTGCGACAAAAATGAAGGAATCTAAAGAGCAGAGCACCAAACGCTCCGTCACCGTCCCTCTGATGGATAATTACAGTTCAAAGCTGAACCACAGCCTCTCCAAACAAGCCTGACTTCTTCAGCCCCCTTCCAGGACTCTTCTGTCTCCACCCTAAACATGAGCTGGGGCCCAGATGGGCAGAGATGATCTCCTTTATTAATTGATTCTTTCAATAATCGTCAACTAATTTAGTAATCGATTAATCATTAACTGGAGTATAGAGACTCTAAAACCTGCCTTTAGCTGACAGAGCGACCCACTTAGAGCAGAAATTATATCAAAATTGTAAACAAATATATAAACATTTTGCATTTAAGCTTTAAAAAAAAAAAAAAGTTTAAGTTTGTTAATCTGCTCTATCTAGAACTCAAGAGTTTTAGTTTCACCTGGTTTAACTGAGTAAAAAGTCTTGTTCAAGAACATTTGGCTATCTGATTATGAAATGATTAATCAAAAAAATAAAATATCGACAGATTAATCGTTTTGCAAAATAATCGTTAGTTGCAGCCCTACTGTGGATATTCATGGATTGTTGGGAGGCAGAAGTTGGTTCTGTCTCCTTTGGTTTCTGATCCATTTTGTCTGTGAAGCCTCCAATCGTCACCCGAATTAAACTGTTTGGTCTATTAAGCATAAAGGCTGCAGATTACCAAGAAAACACCAAAGTCCTTCCAGCTGACTGATCATATTAATGCACAGCAGTCTGGAGCAAAAACTACATGAGATGACCAGATATTCCATCCAATCTGATCTATAAAACATTTCCAACTATAAAAATATAATTGATCAGCTCACCAGGAAGAAATTAGGACTAAATATGGGATGAGTTTTCTTCTTATTTAATCATAATCCTTGGTTAAGTCATAATAATCTTGTTTAATTTTGTTTTGTTTCCTCACTGCCCCCTTCTATATTAAAGGTCAAAGAATCATGGACAAATTTATATTTATTTAAAAAAAACAATTTAGTATAGTTTGCTATAGTTTGTTATCGGAGTTCAGTACATTCTCTATTTATCTGTGATATTTATTTTCCTCCTTATATTGAGGTTTATTTCGATAATCTGTCTAACTCAGCACTGCAGCAATAATCTAATGTTTTAAAACATTTCCAGGATTAATTTATTTTCCAAACCAAAGCTGTCAGCTCTAAAGGCCAGCTCACTTCCGCCTGCTGACATGTCCGGATGTGGATCCTGGATTATGGGGATGGATGCTCCTGGAGATCCTACCTGTGATTCCCTCCATCAGGGAGCAACAAATGGACCCCAGCAACAGTGGGAATGCTAATTCAGTCCAGAAAACAACCAGAAACAAGCATCCGGTTTTTCCTGACTCTCTGGTGGTTTAGCTTCTTACCCTTTTAGCGAACGGGTTGTCATCGTTGGGCTTCGGAGACAGAGATGACCAGAGTATCACCAAACCCAGGAAGGTCCCAATGAGCATTAAACTCCGCAGGAGGAATCCCACCTTTAGCCTCATGCTGGAAGCTTCCTTCTTCTAAAGCTAAGCTAAGCTAAGCTAGCTGCTGCTGGTCCGCGCGCTCTGACTGACTAACCGGTAACCAGCTGCTCTCTTCCTGCTGCTGTAAAGTAAAATAAATATTAGCTCAAAAGGAAAGCCTCCCTCCGCTACTGGTCGGTATAAACAGCAGGGACTGGTTGTGGTGTTCTGGTCTGTCCTGGTGCTCACCCTCACTGTTCCGGTGTAACAACTCTGCCCTCCTCTATGGTTCCTGTTCCTGCCTGATGGAAGGAGGAGGAACAAGGCCAGCAGCACTACAACCACTGCTGGGATGGGAATGGCTCTGTCAGGCTGCGGCAGTTCAGGGCCATATTTTATGGGGCCCCCAAGTTCCTGGGGGCCCCATAAAACGCTGTTGACATGTATAGTTAATTCAACTATTCCTTATTTGTGCACATTAATTATACTTTGATAAAATCCTTTGGCTAAAATGCCATCAGAACGTCAGTGTCCACCATATTGGATCAGTCCATTTGCTGCACATGTTCAGAAAGGTCCAAACTAGAGACTGACACGGGAGTGGATTTTCACTCCTGTCCCGTCCCACTCCCACAGAAAAAAATGGTGTCCCGTCCCGATCCCGGGCCAGAGTAGAAATCTAAATCCTGTCCTGTCCCACTCCTGGTGAAATTACTCCCACTTCCATCCCGCTTCCATTCAGAATGACTCCCGCTCCTGCTCCACTCCCATTCTTGTTGTTTTTGAGCGCGGGTGAAAAACTCAGAGCATAAGTTACTATTGGTTTGCTCCCGCTCCCGTCTGCTCCCGTTAATGTTTAATCCTGTACCGTCCCAATCCCGTGATCGTTACTAATACTGACTCCCATCCCACGGGAATCCCGTGACCAATGGGATTCCCGAAAAAATGTCAGTCTCTAGTCCAAACAGACAGCAGCAAACCATTTGAAAACAAACGATGGAAAGAGCAGTGTTGCCAACTTAACGCTTTAGTCGCTATATTTAGCCACTTTTCAGACTCCTCTAGAACTTTGATTTTTTTTTAAAAGCGCCTAGCTCCAAATATAGCGACTTTTTTCTGCTACTGGAGACTATGGCGCCAACATCTAAAAGCAGCGAACTCTACTTTCCAGAGCAAGTAGATTGGTAACCCCGCCTCCTGCTCTCCTCTATCTTGTCTGCTGTCATGATTCATGCAGCTATTATTTCATCCAAATGAAAAATGGAGAACAGATAAGCAGATCATGGCTTGTCTACAGTGAAAAGAAGGACTGGGTTATTTACTTTGGCCTTTTTGGAAACACAGGAAGGAGCAATCAGCTAAGTGAGCTTAGTGATTGGAAAAAATCTTTCATTCCTTTAGAGACAGCATGAAAAGTCAGCTGAGTACAAAACATAGAGAGGAAAACAAGAAGAAAAGGGACAAGAAGAGAGGGACACAACCTAGAACAGATAATGGATGTCTATTCTATTAACATTTCTCTATCTGTAGAATGGGTCTGTTTTATGTGTTGTCTTCTCAGTACAGGGCCCCCTGCCAGTTTTTGCCTAGGGTTATAAAACACGGTTATAAAACAATCATGTTTCGAAAATATAACGCTACACTGAGCCATTTTTTTCAGTTATGAGGAGACATCTAAGGACAAGAAGTGATGAACTGATGTGACTGATCCATGGAAGTCCAGGAAGTGGATTAAAGGAAAAAGCATCTAGATTTTCAAAAAATATTGTCTTCATGAATAGAACATTTGATACATCTCCCTGCCCTATTATTTTGTTTTCTAAATAGGACCAGTTCTACAGGAACACTGGTCCCTGTGTAGAACCAGCTGAGGTGCTGAAGGTTGTACATAAGAAAACAGACATTTATGCCCACTCTTCACTAGAATCTTAATTTATTTGTCCAAAGGCCTATGAGGATGTTTTAAATCAGGTCTACATCATAAACTAAAGCAGTCAGAAATGTCATGGTTTAATTTTTGAATGGGAGTCTCTGTCAGATGGATTATAAAATTTTCAATTGAAACACTTGAGTTAAACATCTTTTCAGCCACATATGTTGATACTGTTTATTAATTCATTTCCAGACTCTACCAAAGCCTGTTTCATCAGTGAGGTCCTGAGCTTGTGAGTTCAATCCCCACTCCCACAGACTGCCACTCTGGGTCTCTGAGCAAAGATCTTTAACCCCCACACTGCTCCCCGGGCGCCGCACAATGGCAGCCCACTGCTCCCCAAGGGCATGAGTTAAATGCAGAGGACTCATTTCGTTGCTCTAATACTTGTGAGTTTAATGACAATAAACACTGGGGGAAAAAAGATGAACAGAACAGAACATAGCCCATTATAGATTATACCACCACTAGATGTCGCTGTTATTCTGCAGACTTACCAAACTATTTTCAATATGATTAGCAGAGGCAGGTAGAGTAAAACAACACATTACAACTAAGAACACATTATAGTTTGTAGCTTTCTGTAAATAGCTCTACATTTCCACCTACAGTCCATGCTTTTCAGTATGTTTTGTTTAATGGAAAACTTTCTATTGTGATTTCAAATAAAAACATTCACCAAAGCTGGGTTAGAAAACCAGCAACAAGGAGGGGCATCTTTAGGTCACCCTGGAAACATCCACTGCCCAGCTAGAAGTTCGGGAGTGATGACGGAGGAAAATCTTCTGTCCTACCATCACAAATAGTATTGTGCTTTGGTCCTGGAGGCTCTGAGTTGAATACCCACACACTCCCATGGACTGCCACTCTGGCTACCTGAGCAAGACCCTTAAAGGGGTCATAGAGTGATTCTATGGGTTATTTGGTGCTGGTCCTTAAGAAGGACATATTCGCCGTTTTACCAACAGGCGTTTGCTTACACCACCCCACCAGCTTTCTGTCCCACTTACTACGTCACAGTCAGTTGCACTCATTGGTCAGAGCATTGGCCAATAGGCACAGACATGGTTTGAAAAAAAACAGGTTTTTCTCATCAACAATCTTCCAATCTTCATTGGGGCCAGACTAAATTACACATTTAATCTCACATTTGGTCTGGTTTATCGGGCTACTAATGCAAACCTGGTTAAGAGCCCTAGAATGAAACAACAGGTTTTCTTCCTTTTATGGTATGCTCATCAATATAGCGCTGATTGGTTGGTTTATAACGACCGAAGCTGCTGAGCAAAAACACATCATAGCAACAAGCACTTTGTTGATATGGTGGGGTGACCAGATGTTTTTCATGTCCTAGTTTTAATACCTAAAAAATGTCCGCCATGCCATACATGACTACATCTCGGAGGCACCTAAGGCAGGCTTAAATCGCTCCTCTTCCTCTCCTGCAGGTGCAGTGTTTTTTGTGGGGAAGAGGGACGGCTCTCTCCGCCCCTGCATTGACTACAGGGGGCTTAATGACATCACAGTGAGGAATCGTTATCCTATTCCCCTTATGAACACAGCCTTCGACCACATTCAGGGGGCTAAGGTCTTCACTAAGCTTGATCTTCGCAATGCCTACCACTTGGTCCGTAGTAAGGAGGGCAATGAGTGGAAGACCGCCTTCAACACACCAACGGGGCATTATGAGTACCTGGTCATGCCTTTTGGCCTCATCAACGCCCCGGCTGTGTTCCAGAATCTGGTTAATGAGATTCTCCAAGACATAATAGGACGCTATGTGTTCGTCTACCTGGACGACATCCTAGTTTACTCAGAGAACCTCATCGTTCACAGACAACATGTCCACTCCATTTTGCTCCCACTCTTTCAGAACCAGCTTTATGTTAAGGCAGAGAAGTGTGAATTTCATTTCACATCCACTTCTTTCCTTGGCTTCATGTTGTCTCCGGGTCAGATGTCTATGGACCCAGCCAAGGTTCATGCTGTTATTGATTGGCCTGTTCCTGCCCACAGAAAGCAGCTTCAGAGTTTTCTGGGGTTTGCTCATTTTTACCGCCAGTTTATCCGCAATTCGCCGCTCTGCTCCACGCTCTCACATCAAGCAAGGTTAGGTTCACATGGGATGAACAGGAACGCCAAGGCTTTCAAGTGCCTCTAAGAACTGTTTACCTCTGCCCCAGTGACCCAGAAAAGCAGTTCATTGTGGAGGTTGACGCCTCAAGTTCCAGAGTTGGAGCTGTTCTTAGCCAAAGGTCCAATAATTGTCGCGTTCACCCCTGTGCCTTTTTCTCCTGGAAACTGTCCTCCTCAGACCGTAATTATGACTTGGGCAACCGGGAGCTGTTAGTTTGCATCCAATCTTTTAAATAAACGGTGTTCGTTTTTTTTTTTTTATATATATATATAAAAATTATAAAGAATTATGCTAATTTCTCTACATTTTTATTTCCTGTTTGGTGCGATTGCAATAGTGGATTTTGACCTGGCCGAACTGGAGCGGAACCTGAACATTTAGACTATGTGTGGCTCAACCTGCTGTTGTGAAGCAGGATTCTCCACCATGAACAGAATCAAAAATAAATCTGGATCCAGGCTCAGAATGAGCTCCTTGATATGTGCTTTAGAATGGCTTAGTCTCCATTCAAACCCAGGTTTAAAGCCTTGCAGGGCAGCATAAAGCCCACTGCGAACATTAAGACAGAAAAAAGAAAGAAAAGAAACTGAACGATTGTTGTTTTTATTTAAAAAGTCAATGTATAACATGGATGCATAAAAAACTAATTTTATTTCAGTGTTAAATTCTGTTTAAAGTAACAGATTATAAATAAAAATGTCTCCAGACTTTTACTGGTTGATGATTTTCTTTATTCGCTGATTTTCAATTGGTTACCCCTGGTTTAATGTTTATAAATATTTATTTCCCGTCATGTGCTCCAACCAATGCAGATCATTGGCTCCATCCACATCTAGTGAAAACTAGTGTGATTGGATGAGTGATAGAACGCAAACACTCATTGGTTAGCTAAAGGAAATCATCAGAAGCAAGCAGGTCTTCTTCAAACTGCTAACGTGAATTGTCTATGCCATGCTACAATGTGGAATTCAGAAAAAGATGTTGAAATGTCTGAAAGGTCGGACACAGGCGAGAGCGTATCGGGAGACGGAGACCAACGAGACCTCCTTCATCCTTGGCCCTATCTCTAAGAAATTTTAGAAATAGTCTAAGAATTGAGCTTTCAGTTCATATAGCGGCTGTTTTTTTTTAAAGATTACTTTATACTTTTATACTTTAAGTAGTTTGGAGCAGATACTTTTTCACTTTTACTTGAGTAAAGAGGTCAAGTTGATACTTCA